ATAAGTTCAGTTAACAAAGATGATTGTTAGAAATAAATTTAAAGAGTACGATTCTAGAATAACCACTATTTAAATTCGTCGGTTAATCAATTATATTGTATAAACATTTGGATTCTTTCTAACAACAGATTATGAGGTAAAATCTGTTGATCGAATCTATTGAACAGCGAAGTTAATATCATTTTCTTGCTTTACAAATAAGTAACAAAGTTTTTTATTCATATTAAAAATTGAATTTACAATGGAAGCAGATTTCAATGGTTTTGTTAATTGATTTTCGATTTAATATTTTTACAACGAAGTATAAATTATCACTTCAAAATTCTTCATCAAAATAAAGTATAGTCCAATGTCTTTTTAACTAAAAGTGCAAATAATTTGGTATGTTCATTTTTATTTAAAAAACTAACGAAAAAACGCATCTCACTTAATATACATTAAGTTGGTTTTGTTATTGTCTAAGATTGTCATGTTCATTTTCCGGTTACTTTTAACTGTTCCTGTGGAGACTTTGTATAGTCTGAGGCTGATCCTTATTACGAAATGAAATAGATGAGGAAAAATTTAGAGCTACAGAGTAGCGAACAACTGCTATTTTTACTTATGTAGAACAGATGACAGGAGTGCGAACCCTATAGACTTGACATGACATAGAACTACTCAACCACTGAGTAGCCAACATTTTGAACTAAGTCAATTTGTGAAGTATTGAGACCTTCATAAAATATCAGACACACCTCTACTGGTTGATGTTATTGATCATGGGATGTCTAGTAGAACTTTTTGAAATCTGTTACAATTGAGGACATGGTTATCGTTTGTTCCAAGAGATTTGTCAAAGACTTCTTTGTAAGAAAAGATAAGATGATTTAACAAAGTGGTATTTTTAATGACTGTGACAAAAAACACTTCACCTCATTATCAAATGTTCTTTCATATTTGGGAAATGTTTTTGATTATAGCCAAATACACAACTGACGAAAGTGGTTAACTGAATGATATGGTTTGCTTTTTTTAAATAGTTGACTTCCTGCGGTTTTAATATTTTATACGCTATTAGTATTTTAAAAATTGGAACTTTTTAAAATTTTCACTATTCTACGAGAATTTTAATTTTTCGAAATCCCGGTTTATAGAATAACATATTTTCCTTATTGTGAAATACTTCACTTCATTTTTCTTCGGCTGGGAGTATTTTAAACAAAAAACGATTAGCAGTATAAAAACTAAATGGACACCAAGGTAAACTTTTTATAAACACAAAATCCAAGTGTGTGCTTATCTTGAAACGAAATGTAGGCTGAATAATTTGACCGCGAGAATTAATAAGATCAAAACCAACTACAAATTAAACTGAAACAGACGCTCGAGTTATGACACGATAAAGTTCGTGCCTCGACCACTCTATCTTGGCATTCACTAACACATAAGCAACACAATTAAAAATAAGAGTGAATTGGAGAATGTCTCAAATTTAGACCGAGAAAACCTTCAAGAGAGTGCGGGAATTCTAAAGACTTAAGTTTGTATTCAATACATTAAGATATCTATCCAATCTGACAACCTATACATATCCTACATACTTACTAATGAAGTCAATACATTTCATATCACAAATTATTGCTAGGTGACTAAATATTACCATAAACATTCTAGACATCTTGAATAATCAGTGATTTATATCACGTAAACATGATTCGCGAAGTGTAAGTCAACTTCAGAAGTCTGTATATTATAAATGGTAGTTCAACTGTGCAATAAGCTTTTAAATTTATGTAGCAATCATGAGAACTAATGATTAACAGTTCGATATTGATAATAAAACTAGGGGAATGAAGACATTTCATTTTGAACCTATTTAAATGTTTTACTGTCAACTCCAGATAGAATACATTAGCAAAGTTATAGATTACATTGACTAAAATCAATAAATATTACTGATACAGCTAAAATTTAGCATCCGCTTCACTTATCAATTTATTCGAGTCCAACCTTTCACTAAAAATCGTGGATTAATCAGTTACATTTATAAACCAAGTCGCAAATATTGCTAAACATTTTCGGCATACTATGAAATTCTACACTATACTTTAAAAACCCACACCTCATATTAGATAAAATATCGAAAAAACAGAAGAATGATGTGCAAATGGACTAAAAGTTACACGTCCCATATACATAATTCTTTCAGCTGAATAGTTATAGAAATTAGATAACGGTGGCATCGGGAATCCCAGTAAGAAACCACCCTGTCAGATCCAGGCTGTGTGATATTAAATATAAATGCACTATTAACTAATGGATTTTATCAATAACCGAGGCCGGTAACGGACTAATCAGGGCATCAGGAGCACACTTTATGAACAGTTGATTACCAACAGTAATGCAGTGATGGATACAATTAGAACATATTGACATCAGCTACTGTTGTGAAGTTGACATAAAACTACAGCCCATTCCGGACTACACTTGTAAATTCACCTCAAGTTTCGGTACACGTATTTATATCTATACACTAATGTATTCAAAAGTAAAACGGTCGCCTTATAGTCCAGTTTATGACAAGAGTGCCAATGACGAAGTCCGGACATGTCTAAGAGAGCACTCGTTAGGATGAGATATACATATTTATACGAACAATAGACATTCTTTTTGCTAAAAGTGTGCAACAACCCATAACAGTCATCACTTAAATGAAACATAAGGTAACTTATTGTTCCTATTTGAATCAGACACATTACATAGGACACCTTATTTAATTTCTGCATTTTAACTTAATCTGCTTCCAAACACACTAGTGATTTCAATACTTCCTTACACTTGAACAGTCGACATGTAGTTTAGACAAGTTAAAAGAAAGCGAATAGCCATTTCCTTTTTTACTTGATCGATTCATCTGGATTACTTGCTGTCAAAATACATTTGGGATTACAGTCTCATTGTGTAAATCTTTAAATGTCAAATACTTGGTTTGGATACATCTTCCATTCCGCCAGGTCATAAAATCTTATATTAAAATGAATCGTGTCGGCATCCTAACAACTACCGACGTTCTACAAAATAAAATGGTTCACTCGCACCTCAATAATAGTTTTTTAGAAATACACAAGGTTAACTGAAGAGTCAAGATTCGTATCAGCGCCACATAAAACAGTAAGAGATATTATCATATTTACGAAATCAAATAACTTGTGAAGGTGAGTCCTGTATACATATAAACAACTGGATGACTTCTGCTAACCCACAAGTACCTAACACAGTCTGATATTACCTTAGCGTGCAGATGGTTTATTATCTACAGAGAAAAAAATTAAACCTAAGGAATTCCAAACGGTCGATTACGATATTCTGAACTTTGTGGTCATATTATAAAATTAAATACAGGTAGCATGCGGATCTATTAGCAGACTTCATAGAGATTTCAAACACGATTGGCAGCTTTATGTGAAAGTGTCCTTTTATTTTTTCGCTAACTTTACCTTTATTTGACCATACTATTGATCAACACTTCATTGTCAGCGCAACCGTTTTAACCATATGTAGCCTCCCTCACTTATCCCAGGTTCATTTTCGTGAACATAAGACTAGAGTGGAGTCCGGTTAGAAATCTAACAGAGATGGCTTCAGTTTACTGGAAATGTATAGAAACGTAATGGCAATGAGCGACTTACAGCACCGTCCTTTGACAAAATAATTAAATAGGAAAACTAAGTAGACACGAAAAGTTTAAGTATTCAAAAACTATTTTTAAAGTTGGTAATATACATCAAAATTAATCCCGTTTATTATATTTTGGTAATTTTATTCTGAGTGTACGTTTCGAAATAGACCAGTGGAACGAAATCTCAAAAAGTTATTAATTGACTAAACAAGCGTTAACAAAGCACCGATCTAGTCACAAAGACATGTAACCACACCGGGTAGCATCCGTCTAGGTTGTTTAAAACCATGGACGCAACGCCGACAGACAAAAAAACTGTTGAGACTGATCAAGGCAGAACTGGTCGGCGAACAGATATAGTTATGAAATATGTAATGTTTATCGTGGGATGTAGAACAAAAGTATTTCGATTATCCCTATCACGTTTCATATTTCAGTAAATTTTCTAGCAGCCGATTTTTAAAAAAACAAATGATACCAACAAGGAGATTGACATTCATGCAAAACGATTTGAATGATAATTGAAAACCTCATGATACAAAAAGCAGCTGTACAGTTTAACAGTCGTAATCTGTTGAGTGGACTGTAAAAGGCATTGATCACTTCAGCATTCATAAGGAAATTAAGTCAGTACAAACTAGTCTTGGATTGTCGTAACAACTTTATATATGAAGATTTTATGAATGATTTACCAAAAGTGAGATAAAAAACATTTCTGCAGGACGGACAAACATGTACTACGACGCAATAAAATCATTGAATCCTCATACATATGCAATTACTTATGGCATGTTTAATACACAAATGAATAAAGTAGTTTGTATCAAAAACTTTTTCTTAGTAAGACGTTACACACATACAATTCTAATCATAAAAAGTTTGTCAATTCCACAACTTATTTTAAATTATTACGTCCGATTTGTGCAGTGGGATTTATAGATAACGACCAGTTTTATAACTACGGAATGCTAATTGATAGAGATAAGATTGTAACTCACACCACTATCGCCGTCTAGACGACGCAAATAAAGATGAATTCCAAACACGTCACAAACAATATAGCTTCATAAATTGCATAGCTACTTTTTCTTAACAATCGATAAACCTAGCACAAATAATTAAAATGTTTTTATTGAAGTGACGTTACTTTTTTTATTTAAGCCTACTAATACTATAAATTGATCACAACTTTTAAAAGATTCCCGGATTAGGTTAGAATATTACAGGGTAATTGAAATCTACGTTTAAATAAATACGAACTAGTGAACCTGGATGATTGATATTGCACATCGGTGGGTGTGAAGGTGAAATTAAGATGTGTAACAGTAAAACACAAGTTATAAATGGTCAAACATTTATTTACTTAGCATAAAAAACGATGAGAGATGTACAGATCATAGTATTTCACAACAATCATAGGACCATGGATGATAAATCTGATAAAATAGAAGTATATAATATTTAATAAGTAAACAGGTCAATAACTGATGTATTTTAGAAAAAATAAGGATATACAGATGCACAGAAATGTCAGCTGTATGAAGTGAGAATCTAGTTCAGTACCAATGTATTGTCCTAAATAAAAATCAATAAAGTAAATAAATGTGGGTATATATGAAACAAATGTAACTAATAATTCAGTAACATAATAATAATAATAATAATAGTAATAAAGATAGACGGTCAGCCGTTCTAGCGAAGGCTATGAGTAGTGCAATCTGTAGAATAACATTAGCACCTGAACTAAATGTACAATCAGCTCAGATATTTCAGCTTGCTCCACACACAGCCTCCGCTAAATGAACAGCAAATTGAAACAAAGTTACATCAAATTGAAACCGAAATCCATCAAAACTAGAAATTATACCACTTAGCATAGTCATAAAAGACGTACAATAAACCAAGCAACAAGTGGCTCACATTTATACCGTATGAACGATAACTTTCCGACTGGCATCATACACAAAATGGTGTGACTTGAAAAGGTCACTTTGCAAGAATGCACGAACAGAACTGATGTTTATCTGCTTGGCTCGCTCAGAGAATTCTCGTTCAGTGACTTCGATGCGCCACTCTTGACTCCCAGCATGTCGAACACGTTCGAAAGCTAACCGATCTTGGACTAACTGTTTAAGCAAGAACAATAACAATTCTTGGTTGTCGCGACGATAGCTCAAAAATCGCGAGAAAGTCTGGAAATAAAAAAAGATTAGTAAACCAATGAATTTAAAACCAAAGCACCCCTTGAGTAAATAGCACGTAAAAATAAAAACAAGACAAGAATTTATACTGCTTAACACTAATAACGTTGAAAGAGTGTAGAATGGCCAACACCGAATGAAATGAGTAATTAGTACCAGTTGCCATAGAGACAGAAATGACACAAGAGTTTAGTGACTATCTGGAAATCAAATTTATTTGTAGTGTTTATATGCTGATAAAATGAAGTTAGTAAATTGAAAAGGTGTTTACTTCAACCAAGAAAATTTTTGGAATACCAACCTGTCGCATTGACTTCATGACACTGAATTTTTGAGTAGACACAAATGACTCTAGCATGACACGGAGAGCCATATTAACATCATCGTCATTAACGAATTCCCGCAAATGCAAACGAGCGTGTGCTTCAGACAAACGGATTACCGATTCGATGTGTCGGACAGTTATTGGTAAGCTCCCAGTTACCTATAAGATTAACAAATGATATTAGGTGATCACAAAAAATAAATGAAGAACAAACTCAGAATCCCAAACGATGAATGAGAGACAAAAGAATGAATAACATGACTAATAAAACAGACTAACCATGGATTCCCGTCTTAGATCAGCGTAAGCTGCAGCAACCTTGTCCTGATCCATTTGGTTTAGCTTAGGATGAATACGGTCTTTTGCATAAAGAATGTATTTTTTTAACAATTCCTGAAGTTGAATTAAAACAGAACATTATCTAGTACGATTCTAAGTGATGTGAACGAAATGTATTGAATTAGAAAACATGGTTGGTGTTTCTAAATATTAAGAATAAATGTTAATAATTAAAAACCTCAGCCATTTTTATATACATTAACAACATACAAACAAAAAAAATGAATATCACTATTTATGTCATTATATATATGGAACTAAACAAAACTAATTAAAACACTAACACCAATGAAATACTAGCTGACCTTGCAAATCGGGGTTTATTTAGCAAAGGCTGGACTATAAATAAGAATAAATTATCGTAATTTATTTAAGACTTTAACTGATTGGTTATTTCCAACTCAATTCGGCAAAACGATGACAAAATGTCAAGCAAAAACAGAGTAATAAATAAAGATGTTGACTACAATTATATTTAACCATGGAAACAAAAAAAACAGTGCGTAATGAAATGCGTCAAGAAATTAACAAAGTATTTAAGCGAATGAATCCTTTGGAATGACTTTGTTGTAAAAACTATGCAAAATTTAGGTGGCCGAATTTTTAGGAATCTGAAGAAGTATTTTCCTCATCAACTAACGAACACAACTAAATTCGTCCAGCTTTTAAAGTGATGCGACAAGTCATTTAGATTCAACGAGTGATAACGCAAAGTTGCCTTATTTACCTTAATCTCAAAAGAAAAATATGTGCATATCGTATACACATAAATTCGCCGTTATAAACCCAAATTAGTCCGTTCAAAAAGAACTATACGGTTAATAATGCGAAACTACTGGTCGGGTTTCTACATCACTAAATATCGTTAAACAAATGTTGAAATTACGAAAACTAACTTGACTCGTGCTTTTAAAGAGCACTTAATTGAGGAGGCAAAATCCATATATTTTGTAGATGGTGGGGTAAAACAGAATAATAAAACCTTTTACAAAATGGAACAGTCATAAGTAGACAACGTCCCATTAAACCACAGCTATAAAATACCGAGTTCCCATAAAAAATATATTACAGTTTATTAAACCAAACTTGGGTCAAGATGTATAATATATACGACCAGAAATTTATATGGCAACTGCAATTTATGGTTAAGAAATAGGGAAACAGGTATGATTCGTTACCGAAGTAGCATTTAAAGAAAGGTAACTGGATGTTAAGACTCGAAGTATTATGAAACTGCTGTACATAATTCTGAATAACCGAAGCTTAATTTCCTTATATTTTAATGGAAACAAATTACAATAAATCTTAAGCGCTATTTGGCATTAGTTTTTTCTGTCGACAGAATATCTGCTAAAGACAAGCACTTCATACAGAATATGACTTCATCAATATGAATAAAGCTTGCGTTGAAAACATTAGACAATTTGAGTGGGAACAATATAAATGAACGTCGATCCAGAAATTCAAATGGCATACACTTATGTTGCTTCAATACTAATATTAAAGTTTCACATAATGACTATTTGCTGTCGAAAGATAATCGCAAATTTTGATGTGACCTGTATGAATCCTTCACACTGAAAAGGCGTGACATTTTGCTTATTTTCTGTAATGTAATTGGTGTTGCAAACATACAACACAAAATAACACAGCTCAGAGCATACTTGATTGATACAGCATCGAAAATATATAATATAGATTGGGAAATTGAACGATATATCGCCGAAAATAAATTGAGAAAGAATATATGTAAATCGCGATTCTGACTGAATGTGAGTAGTTTGATCAATCCAGAACACTAATAAAGTAAGTTGCTACACAAAGCTATGTTTATTGTGCAAACAATTAAATTAATAGGACAATTTAAAATAAAGATGGATACTCTTCTTCATTGTAAAAGAAAGCATCATTCCCAAGTTCCACGTTATTGCAATTGATATGATATTTCAAACGGTGGGTTTCTGGCTAGACATATGCATCTAACTGAGAAACTAATATGTTTTACTCTTGGAATGAAATACCTAAATGATAAGTAAGTATTTGTATTAGTATATAGTGTAAATGTCCGAAGGATGGGAGATCATTTGATGAGGCAGTAAACCAACTGAGGTCGTTGTGACATGTGTTACGTATGCTCAACCACAGTTTTATCCATTTATGCCAATGAGGTATGGCAACATGAACGGATGCACCTGCGCCAATGCGAACGGATTGGATGACGTCAGTCCGAAGAACGATGAAACCTTCACCACAAAACCATCTAGCACAGACAATAAATATCATTCAAAGTTTCTAACAATCGGTTACGATAATTACGAGGACCCCAACCAAGCAGTCTATACCTTTTAACATGAATAAGTCCATATTCCAGTGGCTTCATGGACAGATGTCATGTTTTGGTTTGGGCGCCTCTAGCTTTCTTTCAGCCTACTCTTATAACAGAAAACATTGCCCGTTGAGGAAGGTGGTGGTTGGGCATACTTAATACATGTCACAATCATCTTAGTTGAAGATTCACTGCCTCATCAATCAATTTCGCATCTCTAACTAGCACTCTACTCCGAACCCAGGCATCGCTAACTTGGAGGTCCCGTTACACAAGCAATGTTTCGAAGACACCGATCATCGAATACCAGAAACCTGCGAATATTCTCTATTCTTAGTGGGGATTTCTCACATCCACAAAATAGGACGGAGACAACTGACGCACAGCAAACTCGCCCTTCGGTCAAGTAGCCCCTAAATGCCCTTTTATGGTCGAAAGCGGTGAGTCGCTTCTTTTTCTCGAAATGCTCTCACATGGCCACGCGTATACAGCCATTGATAGGGATGTTCTACTCACTGCCTCCATGCTGCGGGGCTGTTGTTCACGAAATTGAGGACGAAAAGCGGATGTCCAGCGCTTTAACCAGGTTGATCGATAAGAAGGATCTACCTAGGGGAGTTGGAAAACCCTGATTCCAAACCAATGGTGTTCATGGGCTTCAGTATCCTGAAAGAACAAATGGCGTATGAACCTACTGTTGGTCACCGGCTGATCAGATTTGTGTGGCACATATTTATTTGGTGCCTCCTTGTACCAATATCTATATGTTAAAATAAATAAACAAATGGGCTCCAGAATCATAAAAAGACAATTGGTATATTAACCTATTGTTGGTCACTGGTTACCATTTTCTTACGCTGCTCCACTGCCTTGTTGATCAGACCTCTAGGTCAAAGAGTCGCTTCCTAAGAAAACCACCTGCTACGGTTTGGGCGTCCAAGCAGTGTCCCAGCCCTCACAATGATCGAATGATTTATGTGGCGCATATATATTTAGTGCCTCTTTGTGCTAATGTTTGTGTTAAAATAAATTAAAAAATAAATATTGGTTAAGAAACGGATATCTTGCTTACGCCAAAAGTGACGCAAGTTGGTAAAAGCCAACCAAATTTATGAATTTGTGCCAAGATTTTTTCAGACACGACTATCAAGACTAATGAAGCATCCCAGATACGTGGAGCGATCAATGCGTTCAACTAACCCACTCATCTTTATATCTTTCGGGCTAGTAAGTATGGAGTGGCAACAACACAGATAAATAGAGTCAGTAAATCATCAAAAACTCCATGTAACAGAATATGAACGATAGTTATTACGAAAGGCAAACAATGAGAAGCAAAGAGTACAACCTTAGAGTTGGACGGATTTTTATGAACCAACTATAATTCTACACAGCATTGTACGTTACTGCAGATGATGACAGGTCATGAGTGACAAATTATTCAGAAAATTATGTTTAGATAGTGTGTAAGAATCACTGAAATTAAAGTATATATATATACGAATTGATAACTAATTACCTGATCTAGTGGTTGGATGTCTGCATAAGATCCACTTCGGGGAACACCACGTTCTGCTAATTGATCATTCAGAGCAACACGCTCCTCCAGCGTCATATTAGGATGGTGACGCATATGACTTCCAACAACAAAGCGTGCAAGCATTTCATCCTGTCGATATATTACAATCAAATTTCGAAGCATTCAGCATTATTTATTACCAAAACTAAAACAGCAAACTCGTTTAGGCCATGAATATAAAATAAATCGCGGCGAAATCCATTAATATAAATGAGCATATTACAGCCCTCACACAAATCAATTGAGATTTGTGTGGCGAATATGTATATATATATATATATATATATATATATATATATATATATATATATATATATATGATTGATGGATGCACAGAATAGGTTTCAAATGTCGCAACGACACGGAGGACCCAGTTAAGGTAGTTGGAAAACCTGGTTCCAAACCAATGATGCACATGAGCTCCAGGAGCCTGAGAGAACAAATGGCGTATGAGCCCATTGTTGGTCACGAGATAAGATGGGACTGCACCCCCTAACGTTGCTCTACTGTCTTGTGGATTAGTCCTTGAGGTCAAAGGCTCCGGCCGTACCCCTTTAAGAAAATTACGTGCTTCTGTATGGGCACCCAGGAAGTGTCACAGCCCTTACACATGTCAAATGATGATTAATACTGGTGTCCCTTGTACAATATCTGTGTGTTCAAGTAAATAAATAAATAAAATTGAAAGCTATATTAATTACTCCATGAGCGATTAAAGCAAGTTTGGTCGACGTAAAATTTGATTAGTGTGTGTCGAGAATTTCGATCGCATTATTTACACGTATATTTGCACAAAGGTCAAACCATACAATACAGACAACATAACACATACAAAAGAGAATTAGACGAATGTTTCCATCGCCGGGATATTGAACACAACTAGAACTACTAATTCAATAAATAGCAGATAAGATCGATATTTTTCAGCATTTATAATCTGATAATTATCGAACAAAATAAACTGTGAACGGTTGCATAAACACTCATAAGAATTGTTTAGTAAATAGTTCTGTTGTAAACTTGAATCTAACGTGTGAAAAATGTACTACTGAAATCCCTTATAAGTAGCATAGAACGAAACGGTGCCGTTTACATCACGTAAGTATGTACAAACTAGGGCAAGATATTTCAAAACATGGATGTGCCTGGAATCGGGTTCTGATTGTCCCTTTTATCCAAAGTAAACCAAACTTTACACTCCTCCATTATGATGTCACCAAAGTGAAAGATCAATGAATTCTTCCAAACCAACGAATGGAAGATTTGTAAGACAGAAATTACCTAGTAAAAATAACCTAACTAATTGTTACCTCCAAGATAATAAGTATTTTTGTAAACCTAAGCACTGTGGTTATTCTTTTTTGTGAACAGCTATTGCCCAGTTATAACCAATAGAGGACTTATTACTTTAATCATGCGGTAAGACATTGCAGAAGTATTAATCATGAACTTTGTACACAATGAACCAACATTCACTTTCGTAAAAATTAGAGAAATATATGGAATCTTAATACCAGTAGCTAACCTGGGATATTAACCTGCACACATGTAAAATATAAACAATCGGACGTATGATTTTTTCATATAGGCCAAGAAACACATTAAACACTTAATCGTTTAATTATAATACTAAATGTTCTAAAGGTGTCTAAGGAACAGTGTCATTATTCACCTGAATAGGATCTACTGCATCACGAACAACACAAAGAACATCAAAACGACTCAAAATTGGTTCGCTGAGATCGACATTGTCGGAAAATGTCATGCTCGGGTCATAACGACCACCGATAGGATTAGCAGCAGCAACAATAGTACATCTTGCTTGCAGGCTTGTAACAATACCTGCCTTACTTATTGAGATGCTCTGTTGCTCCATGGCTTCGTGTATAGATGTTCGGTCCTGGTCATTCATCTGTAAAAGGAAACAGAAATCAACAAACAGTAGACATACTAACTTGACACAAAAAAACACTTAACATAATACATGACTAAGATCCAAGTTACGGAAACTGAAAAGAAAAAGCATAGTATAAATTCGAGAACAATAAATACCGATGACTACAGTTCAAACAGAAACGCGGTAACTAAATGTTACGAATGAAATAAGAAAAAAACATCCCAATAACTATTGGTTTTCATTTTGAGCTATGCATGACAACTCAAGCTACTAGAATGCATGACTTCTACGATTCCAACCGAATGTGTATCAAGAATTAATAAGTCTTGAAACAACTATTCTTTATTTCGCGACAGCATGTCTTAAACTGATCATTTTACCTTTTCCACCCAGTTCTACAGTTTGTAAGTGATGCAAACTATAGGGGACAGGAATTGGAAGCAGAGGTCAAAAGGATGAGTAGCGACTGGAAGTCAGTCAGTCAGCTACGACGTAGGGCCAGGTGCACATATGCATTGGTCCATGTTGCCACATCTCATTAGCACAACAAGATGAACACCAAATTCATAGAAGTAATTACTTCAATGGTAGCAATACATTAAAAAGATTGCATATAAGGAAATGATACGGGGAAAGAGAATTCGTCCGCAGAAACAAAGGTATAAAGTGATTTAAACCTCACAGTTTAAGGGAGGACAAAGAGTGTATACAATTACGCCATTCTGATCGATTCTAAGTCCTGCCACACAGAATCTCCAACCATTGGTTATGATAGTCATATGGACCCCAACCACGTAGTCTGTATCTACCAACATGGCTCAGACCAGAAGTTTGTAACTTCAAGCACTGATGCCACGTTTTGGTTTGGTCACCCTAATTTTTTTCCATAAGTCTTCAACACTAGTCAGCATTACGCGTCGTGGTAATCGGTGTTCAGGCATACGTAACACGTGGCCCAACCATCTCAGTCGACGAAAAGACGAACTGCTGTGCAGTATACTCACCCCTTAATTGATAGACAGGTATCTCGCCTTCGCCATAGATGACGTAAGTTTGCAAAACGAGTTTCCTGAATCCGTGCTGAGATTTCGTCAGACAGCAACCCATTAGGGCTGACCAGACTTCCAAGATGAGTGAAGTTATCGATGCGTTCGACTACTTCACTCTCTATCCATAGTTCAGGTGTTGACGCAGACCAGTAATGAAGCAATTAATTGCATTTAGAGGGGGAGAAACGAATCCCAAACATCCCGACATTGTTGCTAAGTGCTACCAAAAGACTGCAGTTTATCAGCGTCTTTACCAAACAGAACTATATCATATGTGTATTCTAAGTTGTTAAGTGGATCTTCGTGTCATATTTTTCCAAGATCGTCTCACTTACACTTGACTACATAATTACAGTCTCTTTTATTAGTCTGAAAAGCTATCTTCTGTTACCTACAGACACTGCCTTTTTCATCTCATTTGCTTGCATTGCGCACCACTGCTCACGGTTGCTCCTTAGACCTTTGGTTGACCTAGATCTGATTTGTTTTCGTTCTCCATCGTGTTCAGTCTGATGGGATGACTTTACGAGAACCCATTAGTGCAATAAACTTAGAAGAAATCCATTGGTTTTTCGTAACCCCTCAATTCAAATGATCAATGAATGTCTCTGCTGTTTGTATATTTTTCCAAGCAACATCTGGGTTCTCAGAACTACCTAAGTGTGACGCCAGTCGTTCCTGGAATCTAGTTTCGGCTTTCTCGCCACTTAGTTCAACTCCAATGGATCTTCTTAGTGTAGTTTTTCTGCATCCAGTCAGGTGCAGGCAAATGCGTGCTCGTATTAGAACATGATCAGAGTATAAGCATGCAGTCCATAACGATCGGCAGTTTCCTATCGAGCCCCTCCAACGACGACTGATGGCAATATGGTCTATTCGAGTCCATTTTAGTCTGGTGCAGGAGATCGTCCTGTTAGGCGATGCCTCTCATGCTTAAAATTAGTGCTTGCTAAAGATAAACGATTGTTTGAGCACAGTTGCAGCAGACGTTCACCATTATCTGTTCGATGAGTAGGAATACTAAAATATTCACGTAAATGTCTTCCTGGTTGGTTTAAGCTACCTACATGAGCATTAAAGTTACCTGCTACGAGCAGTATATCTGAGTCTAGCTTTTTGAAGTCCAGAAAGCTTACTGTAAAATTCATCTTTCACTTCGCTGGGCTGCAGTCAGTATGAGCGTAGGCAGAAACGACGAACGGGCAACGACGTGCGTCCCTCTGCTCCCGAGTTTTTACGGAGCCGTTTAGCCGAACACCACATAGTCAACTGTTAACAGGGATCCATTCCAATAGTACTTGTTCTGCCCTCGTACTTGGTACTATGCCTACACTTGCCAGTTCACGAGAACTGGCCATCGGGTCGCCAGATACATGAAGGGTGCATCTCATCAGCTCTCCGTTTTGCCGAGATGAGCTCAGCTGTATGACCATGCTAGGATCTTTTATGTGTTTCGGAGACACAACATACATCAATGGTACGAGATTCTAGGGTTTTAGCCAAGGAGGCCAGCTGGCTGATTCAACATAGTGTGTACGTTGAAGGCTCCAAAGTGTAGTTCGGAGCGAGCGTTCAGTAGACCTGGGACAGTGTTTTGTGCACTATAATCGTTGGCCATGGTGACATATAGGAGGGAGTTGAAAGTTGATGTAGGAGGAATAATAAGAATTGAAAAGGGAGATTGATTATGAATACAGTAATCTTGATTGCTGTTAAAGGTATGAGGGCGGTTTCCACCTCCCAGTTATCCACACCATGGAAGGGTTCTTCTAAAGGTACTTGAACAGGAAATCGGGTTACAGGTGGTCTTAGTGACTCAAAAGCATGACTGCAGTGCCCAAGGGACAACTGCTTGAGGGCGGTCACACACGACCTTCGCGTAAGCAATTTTTGTGTTAGCTCCGTACTTGTTGACAGTTTACAGCCTAAATAAGTAATGCGAGCCAAAAGTTCTCGTATTTTATACTTGCAACACCTAATATTATAACCACTACAACGTTAAAATACACTATCTCGAAATTTAGTATTGCTTATAATGTTGTCATCGAAGTCGATAACGAACGAATACAGGGTTGTCGAATAGTTAGTTAAGGTTTCTCAGCGCTACATTACTATGAATGAATGAAGACAAAAACTTCTGGTAACTTCTAAAACCAGCTCACTTTTAAGTGCGCAAAGTACTTGGAATATAAAAGACGACTGAAGACTAATGATACGGATAACCCCGAAAACACAGAAAATCGGTATGGTCTGCATTCTTTAATTTGAAATCAATGGTTGCTTGACCAACTTTTTAACCACCTAAGCCCTAATATGACATCAAACTGTTTCCACCAGTTACCCAAGACTATTGCTTCATTTGAATTCAGAATGACATCTGACCGAAAGATTTCGTGCTGTTTCGAAGGCTTCCTGAATAATTTAGTCACAAGTCCTGAGCTCGCACGACTGCATCTTATGAACGAGTTTGTTGTGGTTTTCCAGTTGATGATAAACTCAGGCTTAATCGCGTCCTGGTCACAATACGTTGGAAAGTAGACAGATATTCCCCAAAAAGATGTTTAATTCACCAATTTCTTCTGACTACTCTAAAAATAATGACTTAGAGGCAGATAAAAATTTGTTATTGAGAATCTAAAATACAATTGCTTTGAATCTTAAGTATAACAGAACACCGATACTACCAAGTACACAGGTAAATACTAATGGAACACTTTCTGAATCGACACAGAACAGACTCGAGGTTTGTGGTTCTCTAATAAACTGTACAACAGTAGCTAGGCTTGCATACACTGTTATTCTTCAGCCTCAAAATTTTCCCACAAACAAGGGAAAATACTTATAAAAACACCAGCTCCATAATAAATCGAAAAAAATTTCATAATTTACATAAACAGACAGTACAAGGACATTTACCTTATCGAATTCGTCAATTAAACACACACCACGATCTGCAAGAACAAGTGCACCAGCTTCCAAAGTCCACTCCCGACTCATTGGACTGCGAGTAACATACGCTGTTAGACCAACTGCACTTGCTCCCTGACCAGTTGTAAAAACACTCCTCGGAGCTAGCTGCTCAACACACTTAAGAAACTGTGACTTTGCAGTCCCCGGATCACCACAGAGAAGAACATTAATGTCACCTCGTACCTTGTGTTTTCCTCCTATAAGAATAATGAAAAAAATCTGTGAAAACAAAACACAATATGTGAATAACTGAGAATATTAATAACTTAATATTAACATCAGGCTAAGCCAAGTAACAGTAATAAAATCCCTGTAGACAAAACATGGATAAACATTTGAAGTAAATGCGTGTAAACACCATTTCCGTAGCAATAAAGGGCAATGAAGGGATATTTCTAATACAAGGGTAACAAATTGTTACGCTAAATCAAAAGGTTTAGATTAATACATGACACTTATCTCGCTTGTGACTATAGCACCTAAAAACCGAAAATTCTCGAAAAATTAACCTTTAGCATAACATTAGGGCAACCGCGAATTCCAGTAAGCTCTTTGAAGAGTACCAGCTTAAGAGGCCAGTAGAATTTTCCCATTTAGTATCTCAGTCCCGTCTACTACTTCCAGTGACCTTGCTGGTGTATGTAGACAGTGAAGTTCAAAAGTCGAAAAGGATCAGATAGACTGGATTCCAATAGACAGTCGCTTATGTGTTGTCCGAACAAGTGGAACAGTAAGAACTCGAAAAGGGACACGCTGTTGCCTCTTCGTTTTCTCTGTCTATGCTCCGACTGATTGTAGGTCGGATGAATTTTATAGAAAACTATCCAACCTTCGAAAAGCTAGACGCTCTGATTTTAAAATAGTGGCAGGTGATTTTAATTTTGAAGTGGGTAAACTAAACCAAACCGAAAAGCACAAAGGCGGATCTTACGGTGTTGTTGCTCAGCACACGGATAAGGGTGAGTCTTTTGCAATCACCATGATCAGATAACCAACCCTTTCTGGCAAATACTAACTTTAAACGTTAGGAAAAAATTTTATGACGCAATCACACCCACAACTGACTCAAACAGATCTAATCGTCATTAGCCATCGTTGGAGGGGATCAAATGAAGACTGCTACTCGTTCTAGAGCACATGTTAAAACACGAACATGCTCAGTTTGCGCACGCAATTTTCTGCATCTTCTGGGCATACAGAGGCAACAGAAAGTAAAAACCCTAAAGTTCAACTTTATGTTGAAAAAGTCAAGCATATTTTTCATGGACAAATAAACAAGTAAAAGAATAATGAAAGTGAAGTTCAACAAGAGGTATTCTTCAAAAATATCCAAAAACATGTAGAGACAGCAGTAATATCCACCAGTAGCTCAAAGCAAAAGGTTAGGAAAAGTCAGTGGCTTTCAGTGGTGTCTACAGAACTGACAGGTACTCGGAAACTCATCTCGTCTGGCTCCGAACACGAAGAGGAGCGGAAGCAGTTTAAACGTAAGCCGACTAAGCGTACGTGATGATCGTAAGTCGCGAAAACAGAAGAGATGGGAGGCGGCGGCGATAGATAACTGTTCGGACTTTTCAAGGAAACGGATATTCAGAACCTTGCAGTTAGTGACTGTTTCGGAGAAAGACGGGACTATTATATACTCTCAGTCCACATTACACCGATGTACAGCACACTTTAAAGGACACCTCAACTGGCCTTCAGACACATCTCAGTTACCTAATAACACCAAGCAACCTGGTGCGAGTCCTCCAACTCTTAGTGAAGTTGAAAAGGCTATGAGTAATCTAAGGCGAGGGAGAACAACAGGACCTGATGGATCAACTCGAAATTTTTAAGGACGGTGATCCAGTTCTAGCAGTTTAAGTAACCGGAGTATCAGCTAAAATCCGGGAACTGAACGCAATCCTATCTGACTGGCCTCGATCGCTGATTGTCTCAGTTCATAAGAAAAGAACAGAAATCAGTTCAATTAGTGTCTAAAATATTAGCCTCAATAATGCTTGGACGTCTAACTAGAGTTCGTCGTGAGCGAACAAGGCTGGTTTCAGATATAGACACGGATGTATGGACAAAATACTCACCCTTCAGTAGGTTCTGCAACATACTGGAGTTCCAAATGATTTAACAACAATGAAAACTTTTAGCTTTTAACGTACCAGGATTTTTAGGTTCACCGCCAAAAAGTGCCAGTGCAATGCCACGTTTAATATCTTCATGACCATACACACTTGGAGCTATGCTAGCGAAAATTCGATCACCAATCCTTTCATCACGTGAAAGTTTCAAGATCGCCCTTGTGTCCTCGTCAGTTAATGTCCCCACAGCGACCTGCATATATAAAACAAGACCGAAATCCACTCACCTTATCATCTTTACGAACAACGTTGTTTGCTAATATGACAGTTGCAAAGACTGGAAAACCGTGCTTAGTATTGAGTGATCCATCATAGCTATGTGTATATACCCCAGTTAACTCCTACAATTGGACTCATGATTGACTGAATTGAAATACGACTCACTATTTCATCCCCCGGTTTGCAGCTGTCAACCAGATCATCTAGAAGAATAGCGTCTTTGGACCTAGGAAGACGACCTGCTGGAACTTTGCCTGGGCTTTCTTGAAGAGTGATACGTTGGTAATTTCTATAAACAGTCTGAAAAATAATTCAGAAATTAGATGTGGAAAGTCGTTATCATGAATGAAGCAGGCAAACACGTTACTAGAATACATTCGGTATTTATAGTAATGACTAAGCTATGTATATGTTAGCAGTATTTACCACTGCTTTTCTGTTTACCCCACAATTTCCTGGAGGATTGTTATTTGGTCTAGAATTTTGCGACAGAATGTTTAGAAAACTTAGGAAAAATCCCCCATTCAAATTTCCATAAAAAAAAAACATGTCTTAGTCGAGGTGTCTGACGGAAGTTTCGGACAACTCAAATCACTTATTCCCAATTAGTCATCAATAAATTTGTACAAAAATTATTACAAGATGCCTTCTGTCAACGAAATACATCGTGACTGACAGATATAAGTGATCGGGACATGATACATTTTTGTTCAGATAAAAGTGCTAAGATTGTGACCATGGATCAAGAAAGTGATGCTCATTGTCTACTACATTCAGAGATGGAGGCACTTCCAATAAGTAAACCGTTAAGAGACGACACATATCTACATCACAGATTTAAAGACTAAACTAGAGTAGAAATCATTCGGGATGAAATCTTTGAACGGCTCAGAAGTGCTCATATTTACGCAACAAATCCACTGGTAAGATAAACCACTCAGGTCATTCAAGACGGACATAGGAATCATTTTACCTGAAATTATATCTTCAAGAGTCCAAACAACATGTGAAAAATATGAAGTCAAGGAGTATACATGTTTCTTTTCATTCCAATAAGATTTGCACATAATTCGATACATGGAACAATGAAGAACTATAGTGTAGGCCAATATTTGAAATCATTTAGTCAAACTGATGCTCGTGAGGTTATCACAAGAGGATTCTAGTCGCTAATATGAAGATGTCAGCTAACAAACTCGTTTCTAACAGCAAGCACTACCCAGTGGCGACCCACCCCCAGTAAAACCAAAATTTTTCGGTGATGTAGACACTGAAAGCTCTTTAGCAAGGTCCCCAGTATATGAACTGCAGTTTTTGTATGTTGCTGCTGGTCTTTCGACTATGTTATTTAGGAGTTTTCATTGTGTTGATCTGGCTTCTGGATACTTAGTCCATTTGATTATATTAAACTCATATAACACACAGTGAACATAAGATTAAATAATACGAAAATGAGAGTAAAACAATTAGAAAAGTCGAAAAGTGATTACCTGTTCCATGCATAGTTCGAATGGACCACCTGACTGGCAGTCTGGACAGGTAGAAGGTTTGACCTCTGAGCCTGTCTGGTTTTGAACGAATGGGCCCAAAAGGCACCCACATTTCGTACAGTTGTAGCGGACTACGCTCAACTGAGGCAGGACACCAGAACTGCTTGTAACTACTCCACATGTTCGGATAAGTTGGTTAAGATGAAAATGGCGAAGACATCGGAGGTCCTCAATGAGAGGAAGGTCGTTTATTCTGACATGGACTCGATTAGTGATTCTGTCGTAACGAGGGAACCGAGTCAATGTGACTTCACGAGCAGCCTAGTCGTATTAGAGCAGAAAGCTGACTTTACCTCGTCAAAGATCTCTAAGACATGTTGTGGGGCTTCTGGTAAAAAATATGCTAGGACTTGCTCCGCCGACGCCAGGTGTTGGTAATCAATATGCAGACTATGTTTGTTCTCTCTCGCCATTTGTACTATACGCTCAGCATATACGTTCCGATCGTTTTCGTCCAAAAACGTTCTGAGAAATGCTTTAAAACGGTTTTTAATTTCTTGACGAGTGACAGGTTGCTGGACCCATTCAACGACAGACATTCCCTTCATATCCTCCAAGTTTTCGATACTTTCTAGCACACCTTCAGGTTCTAAATCACCTTCATCACCTGCAGCTACTCTCTCCGCAATACGCCTGCGACGCGCAGGAATTATTTCTTCCTCCTCCTCCTCACCGTACAAATCTGAGTACATAGCTTGCATAACTTATACTCTTACCGGCTATAAGATCACGCCTAAGTCCGCCAGTCGCAAGAAGACGCTCACGGTCCCGTCGTCTCATTTCACGTTCAGCTTCAGCGCGAGCATTCGGTGATAATTCCTCTAGGTCTTCATCGGGGTCTGCAAGACCTTCTGCCTCATAGACGTCAAGCTCCGGATGGGACTGAGGTAATTGGACAGAGATTAGAAATTTACCGATAATCACGCTCCATATCGTCACCGAATAAATTCTCTCCGGATTCCTCCTCTTCATCAAGATTGTCATCACCCAGTATGGCGGCGGATTCATCCTCGAAAGCAGGTTCCTCTGGATCCGGGCTTGCTGCACCTGAAAGCCCACCACCATGGCGACCTGATAAATCTGAGTTCTACTTTGTCAAAGCACTTATCTCAAGCACTTACCGACATTTACAAAAATTCAAAAGTCGAGAACTGGGCGCCTGCAGGTGATTTCGACTACTTTAAATCCAACTGGATATTGAACTTGAGTGGATTCACTGGTCGCATGTAAGATATGCATTTTCGGGAAGACCACTAACTCACGACATACGGAATTATGGGGAATCGACAAACTAAAAATTATCAGTCCTTGTGCATAATTTAGTGCAGAGAGTAGGTTTCTCTCAAGTTTACAAATAGTTGTGAGTGTTTTTGGACGGAATGAAAGCAGCTATCGTTCAACGAGCTTCTGTGTCTGGTAGAGATGGTTCACAGACACATAAGGACGTTCGCGATATTCCAAACTATTACATGGCGACCCCTAAGCATTCTATATCTTGAGGGATATACATCTGGTGTTTTCATGTTCAACTCATTTGAATTTGAAACTCAGTACTCAGAACTATTTGATAACTGTTCTCCTAAGAAGTTCCAAAGTTTTCTTGTCTATATGGACGTTTTGAACAATCGATTAAGAAAACTTTTAGAAGCACATGAGATAATGTTCAACAGAGATTCTCGTTATTATCTACCGAGGCGGCAAATAGATCCACAAAATAAATGGTTATGTAAGTCCTCGACATTGATACTGACATTATTTACCCTAATTGACACAACGTAACTGAAGACGTTAAGTCGAGCATCCATACCAGACCACGATCGAGTAAGCTGTGCTAAGCATTCTTCTCAACAATCATTCGGCTGAAATCACATGTTTGTGTATAAAGGATAAGTGCTCTTTGTACAAAATCGGCAATAGACACAAGGCAGACGCCAAACGCTGACAATATTCTAAGTGATCATATACAGTGGGGTAGTTCATGGTCTGCTTGATGGTCGAATCGCTCCTAAATCTATCATGATCTGAAACGGAATATTAAATTAGCGTCTCCAGCTAAGTTGCGTCCACCAAGTCAAACGGTGTCACCATTAATGTCGAAGACTTACAGCAATATTTACGACACAGTGTAAACGTTTATGCCATCTCTTAACGGTTTACTTATTGGAAGTGCCTCCATCTCTGAATGTAGTAGACAATGAGCATCACTCCGGTTACTTAAACTGCTAGAACTGGATCACCGTCCTTAAAAATTTCGAGTTGATCCATCAGGTCCTGTTGTTCTCCCTCGCCTTAGATTACTCATAGCCTTTTCAACTTCACTAAGAGTTGGAGGACTCGCACCAGGTTGCTTGGTGTTATTAGGTAACTGAGATGTGTCTGAAGGCCAGTTGAGGTGTCCTTTAAAGTGTGCTGTACATCGGTGTAATGTGGACTGAGAGTATATAATAGTCCCGTCTTTCTCCGAAACAGTCACTAACTGCAAGGTTCTGAATATCCGTTTCCTTGAAAAGTCCGAACAGTTATCTATCGCCGCCGCCTCCCATCTCTTCTGTTTTCGCGACTTACGATCATCACGTACGCTTAGTCGGCTTACGTTTAAACTGCTTCCGCTCCTCTTCGTGTTCGGAGCCAGACGAGATGAGTTTCCGAGTACCTGTCAGTTCTGTAGACACCACTGAAAGCCATTGACTTTTCCTAACCTTTTGCTTTGAGCTACTGGTGGATATCACTGCTGTCTCTACATGTTTTTGGATATCTTTGCAAGATACCTCTGGTTATGTTTCTGTTATTTTCGCACTTTGAAAGCTTTTTCGCTGGAGACGGTAACCCGTATGTTTTGATATGTGATATTGTGTTTAATCCTTTCATTGTCTCTCGAAAATTCAGCGTTGCATTATATTGTGTTGTCACAGGATAAACAAGTTACTGATGTCGTAACTGACTTCAGTTAATAATTTGTCGTGGCGTCTATGTCTTATATTGATGCTTCCAGTCATACTATTTTCTAACTTCCTGTCTACATCATAGAACCTCAAGGAACATTTGTGCCGTGCAATGTGGTTTGGTCGAGTCATCGTTAGGCTAATATTTAGGGACGGCTATTAAATTCAATCCCTCGTCCTATTAGTTCCCATGACACTTATTTGTAGTGGCATTGGACCATATCCACACAGTCCCCAAAGCTGAAAACGAGACTACTCGGAGAATAGATATTCAATATTTAACGCGGAGAAATACCTAACGATGGAGAAGGCGCGAACAAGGAATTGAATGAATTGGGGTTGATCGAATGGCATGGCTCGGCCATGCAGGCGTGGTCCCTGCTGAATGTTACCTTATACTTTCTATGCACATTAAGTTGGTGTAGTTGATGGTGTGACTTCCACGTAAGATCTTATAGATTAGGCAGTTATATCATGACAAATCTACACTTTTAGGATTAGGTCTATTATTAGAGCAGTACTAATATCATAATAGACCATAATTCTACATATTCACTGGTCTGCATGGTCGATAGAGAGATGTGAGAGACCTAGTTACATACATTTACCTTTTCGAACTAAAGTAATTATCACCAGCTACTACATAAGTAATCATCAGGATCATATCATTATTTTTGTTCTACATCAGAACTGTTTGGGGTAAAGACATTTTTCAGCATACTACTGAAGGGAATATGCTTTACATTAAGATTTTTTCATGGTGAAAATGTTTATAAATTTATAAACAAGTGCGATCTCATGGACCGAAATTAATTTTGATCGAAATATTGAGGTGAAGAATGACTGAAATTTATTTTCATAGAGGAAGATTGTATTTTTACTCAAGGATTTGAACGCATGTAGAGATTCTGTCTTAACCAGGAACATTTTGGAAGTGACGTTTGAAAAGAATACAAAGACAAACAATAAGATACAGGTGCCGAATAAACAGAATGCAAGTTACAATCACAATAAACCTAAAACAAAATATTTAATGAAGCTTTCAGATTTCTTCAAACACAGGACCTAGAGTCATCTATTTCACCGCCTAAAAATATCTGCAATTTTCTTCAAAGTTTCACCACCATCTTCAAAAAGTAAATATTTGTTTGCAATGTCTTTGATTTTTTCAACTAAGTGATGTGCAGTTTCTTTTTCACTATCTAGCAAACAATCGACTGCTAAAGAAAATTGTTTAGACCGTTGAAAACTTGCAAGAATCATAGAAACCTTGGATATTACGATGCTGATATTACAATCAGATGATGACAATATAGTGTCCGTGTTATCAACAGAATGATTTAATACTGAAAGTATTTCAGGTAAAAACGACACACCCAGTCCAGTGTTAAAAAGATTTTCGAGTAGTTCATTATCTTGATCGAACAATAACTCCAATAAAGCACCATTTGTATTAATGCTGTCTGACGTGGAAGATGATTTGATATGACGCCACTGTACAATGAATTCCTGTGGAGTGGTAATGGACTTTGTAGCCTGCAACAAAGCCAAAATATGATGCATATAAGAACAATTTGTCTGTGGATTATGTAAAAACTGAACAAACTTAAAGGCTAATAAAAATGCATTTTTCGGTACGAGAAATTGTATCAGAATTACCGGAAAATTTTTGTATCAAACCGTAGTTTCTGATGAAATGAAAGTAGCATAAATATTGATAGCATTTAATATATATATATATATATATATATATATATATATACTACATGCAATAGAACACAAAGAAACGTATTTCACTTAAAATCAGTAAAATAATAGGATAAACTGACTATGCATAGGACTTAAAACTACCCCCTATATTACTATTTTAGGATCAGTCAATATTTAGTAATTATACAAATTCATTTTTTATAACTGGTTGTTAGAACCATGCGGCACTCTTAACCGCTCAACCTATTTTCGTGCCACGATCTTTCAGTGTTAAGTGAAGAGAATACTTACTGGAATAGGGGATAGTGAAGAATTTATATTGAAATCGCACATATTTCAGTAAATAAATGGCAACATTTACCTATACACTCTGCTGCTACAGTACATAATTAGCTGGAAGACAAGATCATTTATGAAGTTGAATTTATTCATAAGTTTTTTCTTCAACTGAAAATACAGAACAATAGCTAAGTTCATTTAAATTCTTGATCCTTATTTTCTTTTTATCCCACTCTCCTTTGTATATTACTTTATACCACTTATTCGAATTCAGTAACACTTCTCATAACCCTTGAGCACCCTGGTTAGCATATATATGATATCACACATTCCTAAGTATTCACGTTGGCCGATAACACCCAGGTTATTTGCTATCGCGATCGCTTCTTATTAATACCTGCTACAGGTATATTCGATTCCAGTGTATCTGTTAAACGTTGGTTTTATTGTAACGGTTTCCACATCTTGTTGTTCGTCGTTCTCATTTTGAAATGGTCTGCCAGTATTATCACTTCATTCTGCTTAGAATATTTGTTGACATTTCACTGTTTCAAAATATTTTACGTTATAAATAAGTAGCATATCCCTGAGAGGTATATATCCATCAATACCCTAATAGTGTTTGAAGTAACTAGAGGTGAGTACTTACGATAGCTGAATTCATTCCAGGTTCCATAAACAAGCTATTATTACTTGATAATATTGCTGAATAGTTCCAGCTGGACTTTTGACCAACAGTATTGGTTAGTTCTAATCGATCCAAAGGCTTCAAGTGGCATCCAGCGACAAGCTCTCTAAGGAAAAGAAAGTGAAACAGCTTCGGTCAATAGATAAGCCAATCAAAATTTTTCAAGTGCTTAGATTATTTTATGCAATCTATTTACATTGCAGCTGTTATTTGCAAAAGTGTTGTAATATCTTTTAGTACTGAATCAATTTTGAGAGCTGGCAAAAGGACTATTAAAATACAATAGATATATGCAGAGTTTGACTGTACTGGTTGGAATGCAAACTCCTTTACTTTCAATAAACCAGTAAGAACAAGTATTCCAAATTAAAATCAGTTTATTTTATGCGGCTCACTATTAGACTACAGTAGATATCTAAACTGGAGCTAATGGCCAAAAATATGAAACCACCTAATTCTGTATCGTTCCTTTACCTATGTAAACAAATAACTAGTAAAATACACAAGCCTATGCAGTATAATATATTTTGTTCAATGAAAGTAACAGATAAATCATTCATTGACGATCCTGTTTGCAACGGTTCGTAAAGTCTGTCATAGAGACGATGAAACTATTTAAAAATGTAGTAAGAAAGCGTAAAAACAGGGTTCTGAGATGTAATCTACAGAATACCAGTTTTGATTAGTAAAAGAAGACAACAGAGAACAATTTAAAGGAATTACATATACCTACGATTAAAAAATCAGCTTTTACAGTATAAAAATTGATATGGATAAGATATCTGAAAAATAATACATATCCCAATAGGGTGAGCGATTTAGATGAGAACTAGTATGTATGTCCATTTTGTAACAGAAGTCAACTAAAGCTTAAGTACATCTGTGATGTGTGCTACCGATGTCGATAGATATAAGTAGTATGTATCATCAATCGAAAGTGAAATACCTGGTGGCAGAGGGTTAAGAAGATCAAAGAAAAGAGAACGAGAACAGAGAGTGATTGGTGTGGAAACGAAAGAACAATGAAGTCTGAGATGATTGACTGATATTTTGCAAGTGAATTATATACTGTATGGTTCTCAAATTTTACTAAGATGTTCTGTAATTTTGTATTCAAACACATGCAACTGTCCCCATTTATGTTCTCGTTCAGTACATATCGTTTAAAAAATTCTCAATAACATTACCGGAATTCTCTTAAATATGTGCTAAAAATACAAAATTTTATTGTCGTCCTTAAAGTCGATTTATAAGAACGATGAAATTTAACCTCGTATTTAAAAAGCTGGTCCGAAAAATTAATCACGATTATCCCTAGTACACAAATCAAGAAGCCTGAACAACTGGACGTGGTCTCAGTTTAACAATTAGTGACTTCACTGCCTGACATATATTTGTTTGATCGTCACTAGCCTTCTTTTATTATACTTCGACATTAGATAGGGGCAAGAAACGGTTTCTAGATAAATAGTGGGATTAAATTTTTTTAAGACTAAAGTAGATTGATTCAATAAACCATTACTCACTTCTATTACATACCAAGTTTGTCCACCATCAAAGATTACCAGTCTGAGTTCCAAATTTTCCGATGGATTTTAGGTATGTGTTTACACACAAAAACTTACGCAACGTAATTATTACTTCTTGGGTGTATTCCCATATACATCTGAATTAGTAAATACAGTGACATAACTATTCAGTGTTTCCAGGCTTTCAATGGTTGTCTAGCTCAAATTGACTCGTGAATTCAATTGTGAATATATATATTAATAAAGTTTGATGACCAGTAAAGCATTATTTGTTTTCACAAAATATTTCGTATTCCAATTAACGTGATAGAGAGTTCATCTTCATTTATCGCTTACGTTTGATTTCGTGTTCAATCAATAATCAACCGTTATACAATAACCTATACGGTATCATATCCGTAATAGATTTTTTAATGTTACGGCTTTATTTCGTCAAAAATAATTCAGCCAGAGTAATAATATTTTCATTTTCAAATAGATATTTGATTGACAATTTGAATACCACAACATGGGTATATATTTATTTAATATTCTGTTAACTATAGCAATAATACAATCTAAAAAGAAATTCTGATGTGTCCATATCTAGAAAAACATACAACAATCAGGCATCGTAAAACTAATGACGAAAAGAAAATGTAATTCAGATCGGACAAATAATGAAAGAAATGTCAGGAAAAAGTCATATTATCAATGCATACATAAAAATCTACTTTATGTTACTAACCTAAAATCATCATATGTTGGAACTCCTTGTTGAACAGCTCTAATTTTTGCATCATTTTCAAGCCAATATCTAGATTCTTTAGCAATAGCTGAATCCATTTCTTTTTCTAAGTTATTCATATTAATACCCAATTGTTTCAGATAATTATCATTTTGTTCAACCATCTTTCCAACTCTATTGTTATACAATACGATTTAAATAATTCAAAAAAATTAATATATACTACACAAGTAAAGTGAGTATTTTTATAGAGGGATATGTATATCATGAATTTCTTACAATGAAACTTTCACAGTCAACATATTTTAGAGAACAACCAGTTTAAATCTATTTAATGTCAGGAGTGTTAGACAATATGGAGGGCAAATCACTTTATGTAATAGTTAAACGGATTTGAATGTTCGACAGTTAAACAAATCTATTGTCACGTCCTTATTGTAAAAAGAACGTTACCTAAAAGATAAATCTTTAGATTAGTGTCAACTGCTTTGAGTAGTAGCAACGACTAAGTGGTCTTCCTGTCGTTTACGCTCGTAAAGATAAAGGCACCTTAGCATTTAATACATATCTACTAAAAAAGAAACTATGGTTCGAATAAAAAATACTACACAATTTTCTGTTTTCTTTGTATCCCATCAATTTAATTGATCTGAGTATTTAGGATATATATTTACGTTTTCTGAGTTAATGTTACAATGCCTAGGAATTTACAATGAATATAGCAGTCATTGTGGTGCATTCAAACAACTAAATAACTACGAAAAAATCGTTCTATCATATGAAGTATTATCACACATGTAGCCGTAATCTAAAAATTTTTATAAATAAAACATAACCTAAGGTAATCAATTCAAGGTATAGGGAAGAAAATTATAGAGAATTAAACTGCCTTTTTTCCAGAAAGAAGTTAACACTAAAAGTTTTCTAGAAAACAAAATAACCTAAAAATAAAGGTGAAATTTAATGTTTAAAGCACAATCTGTCATTAGATTACCTAATATCATACTACTTAGTTCACAATAGTGGCCGAAATATGTCTATCAATTAAACTTAATGCTGGCTGGCATCAAGAAGCTTAAAACCCACAAACCAGTCAACAGGTTGTTGCAGATCGTTTATATTCAGTTTCCTATAAATTTTGTGCTAGTGTGTTTTATATTAAAAAAGATGAAAAGAGTTAATAAATAATACCGTTTTCAACCATCAGGTAAATATGGAAGTGCAATATGGATAGGAACTCAAATGAATCAGTAACTTGAAGACATATATATGCATCACATCGACTTTGAAATCAAGAGCTTACCATTCTCTCGTAAAACACAACAAATACGCAGTAGGTTTGATAGGCATCACATTGAATAATATTGTGTTAAACATAATTAATAATCCAGTACATATTCTACCGTTACTGAAACAATAATCTTTCCGAAACTATTCAGTGTATAATTGGTTCTTACGCTTAAAGTGATTATTAGCTTCATATGAAAGTCGTCTAGCTAAGAAGAATTATGTTGTTAAAATAGAACAGAATAAACAATTAGACCAAACACCTTTCACACAGCTGTAAGATATATTAATGAGGAACTATCTTGGCAATCAGCTACATGAGAATAGGAGAAGTTGCCAACCATCTTCAAAGTTAATTTTGCGCAGTGAGAAATCAAACAATACAGAACGTAAAGCACTGAATATATCTAGAGTAGATATATGTTGCTCAGCGAGCATTATTCTGTAATATATAACAAACTCCATTGTTCATCAAATTTATGGCATAGGAGTTGATAATGGAAATTGGAAATGTGAGACATATATAAGTATTTCATCAGTTTTTAAAGCATGAACAACAATGCTACAAAAAGCGTATGTTTCAAAGCAGTATTGTGACACATTTTATTCTGTTTTAGCTAGTTGATCAACTTTGTTTTTTTTTCATTCCAATTCAACAACCAATGTTATCAAATTCATTTACTGTTACGAAAAATTTAAGTGACGGGAACGTTTAGTTCCAAAAAAGGTTGCTTCATTTTAAAAACAAAGATCATGTAGCACATCCAAGCATTGTAAAGTATTTCAATAGAATTATGAGAAGACGGAGTTGATGGGACAAATGTGATGTATTTGCGCTATATATTTCAAACAATCTGGTCACATATACCTCCCAAGGCATTTTATATGAAAATTAATAAAAGTCAATTAAATAAAGGTTCCTTGGAAGACATATTTGAAATAACTGGTCTTCTTGATGACACTAATATTAAAGAAAAGATTGCATTCTTTTGATGTAAACTCTCTTTTTACAAATGTAACTTTAGCCAAGACTGTTGGTTTTCTTTGTGACCATACATCGAGTAATTTCCACCTTTTTCTTATTCACTCAACTACTTTTATTGTGTACCGCGAAATTTCAATTCACATTTGAAAGCGAAAATTTTCGACAAATTGATGGTGTTGCTATGGGTAGACCTTTAAGACCTCCCTTAGCTGATATATGTATGTCATATGTTGAAAGTATGACGAGTGAGCTCATCCACGAAGTAACTTTGTATAGGAGATACATGGGTGATATTTAGTCATATGTGGTAAAGAGTTCGTTGCTGCTTAGTTATTGCATAAACTCAATAGCGTACAGAATGATATCGTAATGACCAATGAAGAAAGTAATAATCGATTACTATTTTTTGGATACAGTATTGGTCAGTTTGTAGGAAGCGAACCTGAACTGAGCAACATCCAAATTTTCCTTTTCTGTCCATCGCAACACAATTATGGCTTGATAAAGTACCTTTTCAACAAGACTCAAAGAATATGCACTACAGATACATTTGAAGAAGATGCAAAACTGCAACGTGACACACTGATGTCAAACGGTTATCCACTAATGTCTGTAAATGGATGCGAATTTCAGTCAACACTAAAACCTCTCTTCAATTATGTTCCGAAGAAAACTGTTTATTTCTCTCTACCACATAGTAGTGGATCAAGCAGTATGATTTTAAGACAGAGACTAGAAGTACCGATTGAGCAAACGATATTAAACTCCTAAACTGGTTGTGATTGGAAGTACTAAGCCAATGACTCCACATATGTCTAGGTATGAAATGTATGATCACGTCATGTTTGTGTGGACACAAATACATAGGGAGGAATAATCGGACAATTATCACTTCGTTTGCTGAATCTTCATTTAATTGACCTATATCAATTTTCATGTAAAATGTCTTGACAAATACACGTATGACTAGATTATTCGAAATGTATAGCGCAAATACATCATATTTTTCACATAAACTCCGCCTTATTGCTCTGTAGAAATTTATAAAATGGAAAATTTTTTTTATACTCCAACAGTATAACTGACAAGAAGCAAACATTCACAACTGAAGTGTAAAGAGATACAGATTAATAGAATAATTTTATTATCTGAAAAAACATATCAAAATAAAGTTATTCAGAATATATACATAATATAGTTTCATTTTACTATACAAATCAGTTTACTACAGAAATAGTCATTATTCGACAACACCTTGATATATACAAATAATTAGGTGGGTTTAACACGTTTGCGCCATGTGAACTTTTCAGATGCACTTAACTCATCCCATCTAGATAATAGTTGCTCAGCTAACCAATCTTGAGTTGGTGGAGCATTGAATGCTGTACGATATTCACGTTTTAAAGATGGACCAATATGCTTTGCAAATAGTCTGAACGCAGAACGTATTAATTCAGGATCGTCACAATCAATATTTTCTTCATCTATATGTCCGGCAGAAGAACGCTTATAAAGAGATGGTCGATTATCATTAGCATGAATATTTGAAACACTAGATACATTTTCACACGTTTGTTTCACATTATCTTGAACTACTCGAATTTCATGCATACCTAAGGAAGAATTCTTTGAATTTGTACAATGTGACAAATTATTAGACTCTTTAGTTGAATATTTGGCTTCTGTAAAAGACAATAAATTATTATCAACTAATTCATCAAATGAGATAACAGATTGATAGTGTAACAAATATTCCACAATTTTCTCATCATCAAGTGAATTAACAACGGAAGATGTTTTAAGTGATTCAACCTCCACCAGAAGATCTCTTAAACACGATGCTAGTACACACGATTCAAGTACTAAGTTGGTATTATTCAACCTTATTTCCTCAATATGTTGCTCCAACAATTCACAGGCTTTCAAACGCCAATCTAACTTATTTTCACCAGAATTGAGTATTTCTTCACCATGTTGATCTGATATATCTGATGATACAGAACTATTCATACCATAAAGTGACTAATAAAAATCCACCTAAAATCAAAAGGAATACATAACAAGTAGGAAAGTAAGTAATAACTAAAATGAATAAAGTTAACAATCATTCACGTTTAACGAAACACAATTTGTATCTGAGTGAAATGGAGTGGTTAACGTTATAAAAAAATTTCTAAGAACAACCACGTTTCTGAACTAGTAGCAGTAGAATCATTTACCTGATATTCGACCAAATGTCCTGTAACTAGCCAGTTCCATTAGAATCTTTGGTGAGCGAATCTTTTTCCGTACATAAACAAAATGAGTTTTCTTGTTGTATTCTAAAAGATTTTTAAGATCCGAAATAGTTTAGCTCAAATTAAACAGATTCTGAATAACGTGAATCGACAAGAAACCCCGACAAGATTTTGTTCAGTCTTCTTTTAATGCCTCTTAGTTAGCTGTAACCGTAATCATTCGAGTATTAGTAGATTAGAATAACGCTAATTTGACAGATTTAGTCATAAAAACTGTTCAGTTATATATATATATATATATATATATATATATATATATATATATATATATATATATATATATAACCCTTGATTTTATAACAATAGTGTTAAATTTAGAACCAAACACTCATGTGACTTAAGCGTGATGCTTTTAAAACACACCCAATCATACGTAAAGAACAAAACATTATCATCAAGCATTGTTAAATCAGTCATAAAGCATTGAAAATCTTTGTCGGTTAAAATAAAATAGCATTTTATTGCATCACAGTAAATAGATTTAATACACAGATAGATTAATAAGTAAAGACATCATAAGAGCAACAAATTGGGATCATAGATGAATACAGACGGAAGAAAATATGGAGCTTATAATGATACAAACCAAAATCAGTGGACAAAAATGAGATGAAATACATGAAATGCTTCATAAATATACAAAATATATATAATCACAAAATATTTGATTATAAGAGGAAACAAAATGAATTCGATGTTACATCACAACGATTACAATGGGATTTTAAGAGCGGGTAAACACGGATTGATACGATTCATCCAGAAATTAGCACATGATATATGATAGCAACGACCAGCTAGATTAATATAAACTAAATGATAGTTAGTTTGTTGGTGTTGAGAAAAACTGGATGATTCATTGCAATGATTATTAACACACAGATCATTAGTCAAGCTGATCGATGAAAGACAAACTCCGCAATATGAGGAGGTGGTTGAATTAATGAAGTCTTGAATAACGAATTCATTTTCTGATGTTGAAACAAAATTAAAAGCCTGACCAATTTTATTCTGAAATCCAAGGAAGTTCATCACAAGTAAAAATGAAGTTTAAATAACTTTTCAATAAATAGTAAAGTTAAAAAATGACTACTGGGAAATGGATTTTTTTCCCCAAATATGACCGGTATCAATCAAGGAAGATTTCAAAATTTACATATTTATTCATTAAGCTATAAACACTAATTTGAATTCAGTGCTTTAAAACTCATATTTTTATTGGCTAACCCTAGAAGACATCCCGAAATTGTCGACAAATACTCAGGGCCTGTACCAATACTTTAGAACTCTCACAGATCATTAGAAATAACAATTATTGTTTTAAAGCAACTAGTTCCTTTGATAAGTGTTGGTAGCGTAATAAGAAGACGTCTTCTCATTACACTATCCAAATTATTATTTTGTTGTCCTTGTTTAAAAAACAGGTAACCAAGCACATTGAGTCCTGTAATGGATAAGGTTCACCAAAAATGCCGAATTGAGGTTTCTATCATTAGATAGATAAAGGATATCAATAGGAAGTATTGTAACTGCATATTAGTAGACAGATTATAGGGAAAATCGATATTATATACGGAATATCTACTACAGAGTTCGTTATAACTTTATGCAAACTCAACAGAAAGAGTAAATTCATTCGTTATTTATGTTTTTTTGAATTTATGTCAGAAATAACAGTGGTTAGTAAATTTTTTCAAGCGAAAATGATCTTTTACAAACATTAAGAGCTCATATTTTCGACCCAGGTATATGGTTGATCTTTAAAAGTGGTTATCAAAATGTTTATTTACACTAACAGAAGTATTACCAACGAAGAATTATTTAGTCATAATCTATGAAAAGTATGATTCTACAGTGAGATCCGAGATGAAAAGTTACTTTAAAAGTATTATTACAACGCATTCGAAATCTTATTCTACTAACTCCCAGCTTCAATCTTGATCTTACATTTGTGTTATTGCTCATTTCTGTCCATTACTTCCATCACTGAATGTAAGTGCATTCTGTATGCTGAGTCGTCAGTTCCTTTCTATTTCAGATTTTCCCACACACCCCCTCACAGACAACGTAAATTCAAGCAGGACGCAAACCAATATATGTTTGCAACCCATTGATGGACTCGCCCCAGGACGATTCCAGTCATTTAGTCGAGTTATACACGATAATAGAGAAGTTTGTTTCAGATCAACGTGCAAATAATCAAAAATAACAAATATTTTAAAAATACCTTTAGATCAGTTACAACAGCATACGATGATAATTTACGAAATGAATTTTCAATATCCGAAAACAGTTGATGCATAGATGAATCAATCACATCTAAATGTAAATTAAAAGATAGGTATCGGAACGATAAGAACCATATATATATATATATATATATATATATATATATATATATATATATATATATGATGATGTTTTAATAGTTGTTTAATTACGATCAATCTGTGAGATAAGCTGTAAAATCTAGCTTTGTAAAGTTATTATTCAGCGACATTGCTTTTCTTCATAAAATCAAACGATTAGGATTCATTTAACCTAACGATTGAAACGTGGTAACAAGAATCTAAAACTTAAACCGATAATGCTAATGAAATAAGAAAGTGGATTTTTTGAGAAGCATAACTACTTACTGTAATTCTTGGCTGAAATGCTAATTCGTCTCGTCATCAAATAAATTTCAGTGGCATCTGTAATAAAACGAAATAACATATATGCTTTTCGGTTAACTAAACCAAAATGGTTTCAAAAAGTTACTTTAATTTGAAATCTGAATATGCCAATTCAAAGAAATTTCAGATGACTCGCATGACATAACTAATATGATATGACGAAAACTTATACAACGTTTGTGGTCATCGATAATGTTCTGTGTTCACTAACACTGTAGTAATAAGAACTTTCGGTCATTATTTCGTGTGTTTAAGAAGTATGCTCTATGTAATTGAAATCTTCATCAAAGAGTTTATTTTCAGTGGCCGAATTAGTCTGTAAATGTCTTCTACTAATATCTTCGGTGTAGTGCATCTCTAAACGCCGGACGAAAAATACAAATACAGGAAATGTTAGACTTCCAAATAAACAGAAAAATGACCCAAAGTATTAGGTACGATACGCTTAGTGAACAATGAAAACATAGCGGATAAATCCAGACTGTTTAACTCTCATATAGGTTTGATTTTGGAATATCCCTTTTTTTATTACATCAAATTGATGGCTTCTCCATACAAATAAAACAATTAAACTATTGAGCATTCAGTTTCTAAGATGTCATTGTTCGTGTATGCTCAGATAAGCAAGTCACTTGAGTTACAAGTTTTACATTTCCCGGGTAAAATGTAAATTCAAACTCCATTTTATTATAAGTATTACTGTGGTGAACGGAAAACTCAGGTGGCGAAGAAGAATTTATTGTCCAATGCGAAATCACACATTAAATACATCATTTGCACATCTTTGAATTGTTTCTTAGAAAACTCATTCCTTTTGTTATCTTGATTGCTTTCAGTTTTCTCTCTTCTCCTCATGTCGGTCTTTCCAATCTTCTGCTCGCAGACATCCCACTTCCTATTGGTGACATATACTAATTATATCTGTTAGCATACATTACAACACAACCGACATTTAATTTAGCAACTTCATAATAAATAAGAACTGGGTGAAAATGTTTATATTAAAAATGATATAGTCGAATTTAAGGAGTTTTGCAAATTCGAGTAATTTTAAACTTTTACATCAGTGAATGGTCATAGTTATAGAACCGCTGAAAACCTTAAATTGAACAACTATTTCGTCTCAATGTGAGACTCCTCAACAGACCACATACACGATCCCAGCAGACACTGAATGAGAACTTTTAAGTAAATCAGGATGCAGTTAATTGTCATTTTATTAAATCTATAAATCAAGGGCTAAAACCAGTTGTCTTTCTTTTAATAAATATACCACATTCACCTCTTAAATGATCTCAATTTCTAATTACTTTGACATGTTTATGCAAAAACTCCGCCTGGAGTCCCTCCGGGGGCTACTGCCGGTCCCAAGCCCGGATAAAGGAGGAGGGTTGGGCATGGGGTTAGCGTCCCCATCCCGTAGAAAACTAACTCGCTAAAAAAACGCTAACCAGAAAAAATTATTCAAACCTTTTAAACTCTGCCCTGGGAGTCAGAAGGTCTTCATTTAGAAGAATTATGACGCCTCATGATGAAAGCCGAATTCCTTCGGAAGTTACGAGGCCGATGCCCCTTCTGACAACCAGAGCGACCATTTATTTAGGTACATGGAATGTTCGTACAATGTGGGACACCGGAAGAGCCTTCCAAATTGCTGCAGAAATGAGAAGATACAACCTAGAGGTACTTGGGATCAGTGAAACACATTGGACACAAGTTGGACAACAACGACTAACTACAGGAGAGCTCCTGTTATACTCCGGCCATGAAGAAAAAATGCACCACATACACAAGGAGTTGCATTGATGCTGTCCAAACAAGCGCAAAATGCACTTATAGGATGGGAATCTCATGGACCAAGGATCATCAAAGCCTCGTTCAAAACAAAGAAAGAGGGCATTTCAATGAACATCATCCAATGCTATGCGCCTACCAACGACTACAATGAAGACGCTAAAGATCAATTCTACAATAGGCTGCAGTCAATCGTCGAGAAGTGCCCAACAAAGGACCTGACCATTCTGATGGGAGATTTCAACGCCAAGGTTGGAACGGACAACACTGGATATGAAGACATCATGGGACGACACGGACTGGGAGAAAGGAACGAAAATGGTGAGAGATTTGCAAATCTATGTGCCTTCAATAAGCTGGTCATAGGCGGCACCATATTCCCACATAAACGCATACACAAAACCACATGGACTTCACCGGATCACTATACACAAAACCAAATCGACCATATTTGCATCAACAAAACGTTCAGGAGGACTATAGAGGACGTGAGAACCAAGAGAGGAGCTGATATAGCATCAGATCATCACTTGCTGGTCGCCAAGATGAAATTGAAACTCAAGAAGCACTGGACAACGGGGCGGACAATATCACAAAAGTTCAATACGGCCTTTCTTCAGGATACTAACAAACTCAACAAATTCAAGATAGTCCTCAGCAACAAGTTCCAGGCCTTTCATGATCTACTCAATGGAGAAGGAACTACTGTGGAGAGCAACTGGAAGGGGATCAAAGAGGCAATCACTTCAACATGTCATGAGGTCCTGGGTCACAAGAAGCACCATCACAAGGAATGGATCACTGTTGATACACTGGATAAGATTCAAGAAAGAAGGAACAAGAAGGCAGCAATCAATACCAGTCGAACAAGAGCAGAAAAAGCCAAGGCACAAGCTGAATACACAGAAGTAAACAAACAAGTGAAGAGGAGCATCAGAACCGACAAACGTAAATATGTGGAAGATTTAGCAACGACGGCGGAAAAGGCTGCAAGAGAAGGAAACATGAGACAACTGTATGACACGACAAAGAAACTCTCTGGAAATCGCCGCAAACCAGAACGACCAGTGAAAAGCAAGGAAGGCAAGGTAATCACCAACATTGAAGAGCAACAAAACAGGTGGGTAGAACACTTCAAAGAACTCTTGAATCGACCAGCTCCACTGAACCCACCCAACATCGAAGCAGCACCCACGGACCTCCCAATCAATGTTGGCCCACCAACAATTGAAGAAATCAGCATGGCCATCAGACAAATCAAGAGTGGCAAAGCAGCAGGACCGGACAACATCCCAGCAGAGGCACTAAAAGCAGACGTAGCGGCAACTGCAAGGATACTCCACATTCTCTTCAGCAAAATTTGGGATGAGGAACAAGTACCAACAGACTGGAAAGAAGGACTTCTGATCAAAATACCGAAGAAAGGCGATCTCAGCAAGTGTGATAACTACAGGGGCATCACTCTTCTCTCAATACCGGGAAAAGTCTTCAACAGGGTATTGTTAAACAGGATGAAGGACTGCGTAGACGCCCAACTTCGTGACCAACAGGCAGGATTCCGTAAGGATAGATCGTGTACAGACCAAATCGCAACTCTACGGATCATTGTGGAACAATCAATTGAATGGAATTCATCACTCTACATCAACTTCATTGACTACGAAAAGGCATTTGATAGCGTGGACAGAACAACACTATGGAAACTTCTTCGACACTACGGCGTGCCTCAGAAGATAGTCAATATCATACAGAATTCCTATGATGGATTACACTGCAAAATCGTGCATGGAGGACAGTTGACAAAGTCGTTCGAGGTGAAGACCGGTGTTAGGCAAGGTTGCTTACTCTCACCCTTTCTCTTTCTCCTGGTGATCGACTGGATCATGAAGACGTCAACGTCTGAAGGGAAGCACGGGATACAATGGACATCTAGGATGCAGTTGGATGATCTAGACTTCGCAGACGATCTGGCCCTTCTATCCCAAACGCAACAACAGATGCAGGAGAAGACGAACAGTGTAGCAGCAGCCTCAGCAGCAATAGGTCTCAATATACACAAAGGGAAAAGCAGGATTCTCCGATACAACACAGAATGCACCAATCCAATCACAATTGACGGAGAAGATTTGGAAGATGTAAAAACCTTTACATATTTGGGCAGCATCATTGATGAACAGGGTGGATCTGATGCAGATGTGAAGGCGCGGATCGGCAAAGCAAGAGCAGCATATTTACAACTGAGGAACATCTGGAACTCAAAGCAACTGTCAACCAACACCAAGGTCAGGATTTTCAATACAAATGTCAAGACAGTTCTACTGTATGGGGCAGAAACCTGGAGAACTACAAAAGCCATCATCCAGAAAATACAGGTGTTTATTAACAATTGTCTACGCAAAATACTTCAGATCCATTGGCCGGACACTATTAGCAACAACGTACTGTGGGAGAGAACAAACCAGATCCCAGCGGAGGAAGAAATCAGGAAGAAGCGCTGGAAGTGGATAGGACACACATTGAGGAAAGCACCCAACTGCGTCACAAGACAAGCCCTCACATGGAATCCTGAAGGTCAAAGGAAAAGAGGAAGACCAAAGAACACATTACGCCGAGAAATGGAAATAGACATGAGAAAAATGAACAAGAATTGGATGGAACTAGAAAAGAAGGCCCAGGACAGAGTGGGTTGGAGAATGCTGGTCAGCGGCCTATGCTCCATTGGGAGTAACAGGCGTAAGTAAGTAGTAAGTTTATGCAAAGTTGATGTGTGGAAGTGAAAGGGAGGCCTGCTTGAGCATCTGGGCTACCTGTTCCTGCCATCTAGATATTTCAACAGGTTATATATTTTTGTTTATTTTAATATATCACTATGTTTGTTAATCGCATAAACTATTCTGCTGCGTTTCTGAAAAGTATACAACCTTTCGTTGCCAAAGTTACAAAAAACTCAATAAGAGACAATGTGGTTGCTGGCAATATACGAAAAGAATGCACATTATTCGGATGTTCATTTACTGAACTGCTAACACGAAAGCGCCAAAGATGGTCCAGATTGGTATAAGCCGCTCCGGCCTACACTATAGCTGAACTGATCTAGTCTCTCATGCCACCACCAGCTCTTACTCAGCTACCCAGATACACGAACATCTTAACTACTATTTGCTCACTACCCAGGGTGGGTGTGGGTTCAGGTTCTACCAGTCATATAGAAGTACTTTACACTTGGAAGTTGTAAGGCATGTGCCATGCCTACGGACACTGACTACCAACTGATTAAATGTGGGTTGCATGGCTTGGGTATCATCGCACAGTAAGACAATATCATCCGCATACTCAGGATCGAAAAGTCTTTCTCCAGGTAACGGATCTACACCATCATTACCTACATATATAAAAGCGGTTTCCAGAACGTCGTCGATGTCAGAGTTGAAGAAGAATGATGCGATTAGGCAGCCCTGCCTGATCCCACTCCTTTAATGGATTAATAGATGTGGTTGTATGCCCTTACTCTATCTAAGGTGCTAGTATATGGAGCTTTCAAGATGTTAAAAAACTTCTCAGACACACCTTTCTCCAATAGACAATCACAGATAACAATCCTGTCCAACAAATCGAAGGCGACTATTATGTCAAGAAAAATTACGATTGTTAGTCTGTGTAATAAATCTGATGGTGTTCTAACATTTGGCGGAGGATGAAGACATGACCAATACATCCTCGACCGGAACGAACACCAACCTGCTCCTCTCAAATCAACCTTTCTCGGGTTTTGAACAATCTATGAAGTATATCAGCCAACGCTTATCTATACTTTTCGGTTGGTTGATAGCTAGCCTTGAACTCAGCTCGGTTTGATATTGTTGCAATAGGAGCTGCAAGCAATTTGCTGACATCGATCCGTTTAGGACGATGAATTTGTTGGCAACTGAAATGTAAGGCAAGATTAGTGCAAACAAGGACATGATCCGAGTCCAGATAGGTACTCCAAAAGGAGTGACAGTTTTGTACACAACCACGCCAGCGGTAGTTAAACGCGATGTGATAGGAAGACGCCAGGTAGAACATCAAGGACGACTGTGCTGAAAGTTAGTGTTAATCAGAAACAGGTCGTAGTCTGCGCAAATTTGCAATAAACAGTAACCGTTATCTCACATGCAACCATCAAGTCCCCATCGACCACCTAAACAACTCCGTTCTGTGTCTAGACGCCCGACCTGAGCATTCAAGTTTCTTGGCTAATACTACAATATCCGTCGAGAGCATCTTCTGTTGAAGAACAGTTAACTGGTAGTAAAACTCATCTTTGGTCTCATCCGGGGTGCAATCTGTCAGAGTGTAGGTGGAGATGATGAAAAGACATCGTTCCTCACACCTATTTTTTTCTTACTTTGATGGAGCTTTCTAACCTAACAGCACATAACCGACTGTTAATGGGAATGCAATCGATCAGTGCTGCCTCAACTCTAGAGCTTACTAAGACACCAACGCCAGCAAACTCAGGCGAAGATGCCACAGAGTCTCCGAGTAAACGGACACGAAACAAGCTTCCAGAAGCGACATATGAAGAGCGAATTTGTAGTAATTGACTAGTCTTGAACATGGGTCTCGGAAAGACAGCAAACATTGATGTTGAGACTTTCTAAAGACATAGCTAACTCTATCTGTTGTCCGTTCTGTATTAGTGTGCGAACATTGAAGGAGGTTAATTTGAATGTTATACGTGATTTCAGAAAGACTGTTTCAGTATTTGCATTCGGTGGTAGCATTCAACTTTCGACCAGTCAGTGACTTCAGATCGTTTAGATAGGACAGGTTTTCCACCAGAGGCGAGCTGCTGTATATATTGAAAAATAAACTACGCAAAATGAGAATAAATAACGTGGTATAATGAAAAAAATTAAAACGAATGTTATCATATGATTTGTGTGAATGAGAGTCGAAGCAAGAGTAATTTTCCAGTGGTAGTTATCATTGATTTGTATTCATAAATTATTTTAAAAATTTACTAAGGTCTGCATGTTGTTCAAAAAATTCTCACTTCGTTTTCAATGATAAGAAGCAAATCAATCCTGAAGACAAGTTGGATTAAAACATTAGAATTGAAATAAATATTGTTAAAGGATGAATTATTTCATCTTAAAACATATTTAATGAAGACATACCCAATAAGAAATTACATCCTTCTTCACTTTCTGCAAATTCAAATTGATCTTCCATACTTTTAAGAGAAGATAAAACTAACAATGAATCATTGAATACTTTCAAGCAATCAGTCAAACAATGAAGCCATTGTTCGTATAAAGATTCTGAAGAATTCATTTTATTCTGAAATCAAGAGGATTCATTACAAATTTAATGAGTAAAAAACGAAGCACAGTCGTTTTTTTAGTGGAAATATAATCTTATATGCACCCAATCATCAATATTTTTTGTGAACAGAAAGTTTCAATGAATGTCATTGAAATGGTTTAAATGATTGATTATTTTTATATTGAACAGACTTAAATCTTGAAGTGCACATCATAGTAAACTTTACAATTATTAAGTATTTCACTATTCTTTTTAGTCACCTCCATGTAACATAACATTAAAAACTGATGAATTCGATAAAGCTTGGTATTCTGCACGGATGTGTGAAGGTAAAACCTATATTTTGTCAAACACTTCGAGCAGTTTTTGTTTTATTATTATTCAGTGAAGATTATTCAGACAAAGTGAGAAATTATAAATAAAAATAATATATTTGTAATATCCCAATGAGTAGAAAATTGGATTTTTCTGACGTTTCTTGGCTTAGTGTAAGTCACTTCTTCAGAGAATAAATAACCAAATTAAATTAATCCAAGTTTAAATAGTACACCGGAACAATGCAAGAAATTGTTTGTTTATTTAACAATAAAAAGATAATATAATATAATGGGAATTTTTCATCAATTAAAAAAGATAAGCGTTTTTATATAATATTTCTAACCTGTACATCATTATAAGCACTTTTCTGTATTGGTAATTTTAACAGATTATCATTATTCGCTGTAGTTAGTGAATTAGAATGAGGAAGCTTATCAAGAATTTCAGTCGGTTTTGATACATTAACGGAATAACTAGTTTGAAAATTTCCAAACTCTTCATCAAATAGGGAGTTGTGAGAGCTAAAAAAGAAGTAATTAGAAATAAAACCAATTTGAAGATATAAATTTTTAAGCATCATTAACAATCAAATAATGAAGGGGAAAAGGCATCTTCAAGATTAGGCTAGAAATAACAAACAAACAAACAGGTATCATACAAAAACTGATAACTACAATAGAATTAATTCAAGGAAATTTTCTTAAAATTCTGGTTTATCGACATGAACTGGATCAGACTTGAAAAGGTAATCTCACAGACACGAAAAGATCAGTTGGTATTTGGCTATGTACATCATATATGCTGTTGACAAATTACCCTAATATTTATACATCAACGACCACAGACCATAGTAGATCCTGTCCTATCTTTCGGCCATTAGGCACTAAGATAAGATGAAACATGTTTAAGTACAGTCGGGTTAATATTAGTTAGATAACTGCGGAGACAATAATATTTTCACTTGCATCCAGATCATCAAGGAGTAGTCGATTATCACACCGTGAATATATAAGTATTTAAAGAAAAACCACTTATATTATTAGTGAAAATTACGTTTGGAACTACTGATGTTGAAATGAAGTAACAAAACATGAAAATACGGTAGTTTATCCAATAACACCATGGTCATAAAAGTTAATCCGGTTTTACTCGGATAGTTTCAAGTTATCAAACTGAATTAGGAATGTAGAAGAGTGGTTTGATGAATTTGGATAGTTTTCGATAGGCAACAAATTTGCAATCGATATATTAAGACATAATACCTACTAAAGGACTTATTAAAAGTCGGTAACGTAAAGAATACGTGATTATAAGTATAAACATATATCAAAAGTAAAACCAGATATTAACAAATAGAACAGAAGTGGTTAAAATCTAAATATATTACTTGCCTCGTGACTGACTTTTTCTGGCCATTAATATCAACTTCTGTAGAGACTTTCGGGATATTATTACTATTATGCTTTGATTGCTTAACCTGAAAACAAAAAATCGGCAAGTACATAAAAAATATGTGATGACTGATACTTTTCAGAAAGTTTACATGATTAACAAAGTTACAGGATTAGAAGTAGTAAGGTCGAATGCCAAGTTTAGTAAAATAGTGGGGTTTTTTTACAAGTCATGGGTCTTTATCGATTTAAAACCTGCTCTTTCTACCATATTTAGAACACCCATATACGTAGATCATAATCCGCTACACAAAAAACGAACGTAGTTAATAAAAACTCCCACAACTGGTTGTAATAAGACTATTCATTTACAAATATCTTAGGACATAGATGGGTGAACATGGGCATCAAAGCCAACAGCATGAGTAAGCGGTAAAAGAAGTACAGTAATTTGCTATATATTGGTAAATACCAATTTAACACAGGGAAACAATGCTCAGTGTTGAACGTATACCATACTACCGAAACAGATCAAGCAATCAGAAAATTTCTTAAAATCATGATCATGTGACTAATCATGAATTAAGCGATGAGTCTCTGTTTCTGAAAGTCTTATTGTTTCAAAATTGAATCCAAATCCTAAACACTACCTATCCTTAAGACTAAATACGCAGTCATCAAGAGGTTCGGTGCCCAACAAATTGTTTACTTCAAGTAATTAAAGAAACACTGAGATTAGATCTAAACAGTCTAAAATGTAACTGAAAATAATGAAATCATGAACATCATAACAAGGCACTAAATTGAGCTTTTTCCAATAATTGGAAATTAGATAGTATTACTAATCTTATTTTATTGACAGTTGATATGAAAAAAATAAAAAATAACTTACGGAAGTATTAAAAGAAGCAAAGTCAGACCACTCAGGGTCATTTATAGATACGGTTCCTGATGAAACGAAATGCATGAAGGGATCTGGTGTCTTGTAAACAGAATTATTTAATGTGCTGGAATTTATAGATGACTGAATAGACTGGTGACAAGAATCGTTATCCAATCGGTTGGAAAATGCAGAAAAGGCTACGACGGGAGGTTGGAAGGGAAACTTTGAACATCCTGAGATTACTGGATCTCGAAAACTAGTTGGGGGATTTCCATGAGTAACTAACTCCGGCCCAGAAATCGTATCTGTAGAATTAGACGGCCTACTGGAGTTAGGGATTTGTATCATAGGGACAGGTGGACATATTTGTCCGTAAAGTGATTGGATAGTAATAGTTTCGGAAAGAGAACATGATTGGAATTCCCATTGCTTACGTTGTGCCAGGCCGATTAAAGCTAAGGCAGTCACTAACTCAGTCGGTGTAAACCAACCAGGTTGAGTGCAGCTTGTAAGTGACCAAATATGATACAATGCTTCTGTGCTCAAATTGGACGAGCGGAATATCTCGTAAATTATTGAACTGTCGAGACCATAACTAAGAAAGATAACAAAATATTTAAACGACGAAACGTTTAACAGATCAACCCAAAATGCTAGTTACAGAAATAAACAGAAACTGGGAAATATTTGTGGCACTCTGTGGAGTAAGAAGTTAACTGATCTGGTTTGAGCCATACCTCAGCACTAAATGGAAGCAATTCACTCACAAATAACATTTAACTGAATGTGGCTGAAATACAACGAACCCATTTTACAGAAAGAATAACTAAATCGTAATCGTAGTGGAATGCAATTCAGATGAAATTATTTGATGTACAAACCGAAAACAGTAACTCTTGTGAGAGACAACTGAAATTATTGACGGTAGCTTGTTTACTACAAATTCTCTCTCCATTCTTGTTCAACTTTGTCATTTACGTACTTTTAGAGATAACAATTTCCTCATCTAAATTTCCAGGGGTTGAACTTCTACCGGGAGGTTCACTTGTTGACTTAGAATATGCTGATGACATAGTTTTATTCGGCGAAGACGCTGACAAAATGCAGAGTCTTCTGACCACTCTAAGCAACAATGCGTGTTCGGGATGCGATTCTCCCCCTCGAAATGCAAAATGTTGCTTCAGGATTGGGTGGCACCGTCACCCAAACTAATGACAGGGAGTGAAGTAATTGAGCGTGTCGATCGCTTCACTTATCTTGGAAGTCTTATCAGCCCTTGTGGTTTAGTGTGTGACGAAATCTCAGCACGGATACAGAAGGCTCGACTAGCTTTTGCCAACTTGCGTCATTTATGGCGTAGGCGAGATATCCGTCTATCAACCAAAGGACGGGTTTACTGCGCAGCAGTTCGTTCCGTCCTAATTTATGGCAGTGAAACATGGCCGGTAATAGTAGAGGATATTCGTAGGTTACTAGTATTTGATCATAGGTGTCTTCGAAATATTGCTCGTATATCGTGGGACCATCGAGTAAGTAATGCAGTTGTTAGGAACGAGTACTAGGTAAGGATGGCAAATCAATTGATGACGTAGTGAAACTTCATCAGTTGAGATGGCTGAGACACGTGTTACGTATGCCCAACAACCGACTGCCTCGATGTGCGATGTTCAGTGGTATAGGAGTAGGTTGGAAGAAAGCTAGGGGCGGCCAAACCAAAACATGGCACAAGTCCATGAAGTCACTGACAAGTGGTCTGAGCCATGTCAGTAGGTGTAGACTACCTGGTTGGGGACCGCGAGATGATAGCAACCAATAGTTAGAGACCCTGAATGACATGGCTCAAAATCGTTTGCAATGGCGCAGGTGCATACACTCTTTGTGTTCTCCCAAATTTTGATCTCCTTATTCCTCCTTGTCTCTTTTTTTCTCCTCTCAAATTTATTTCACTATTATACTCTTTAAGTAACATCTCCAAACACTAATCTTCCCGATTACTGTTTATACTCTTACTACCTCTACCACTACGGGATTTGAATCAACCACTGCATCTCTGTGCTAATGTGGTGTGGCAACTCGAACTGATGTACGTACTTACGAAGTTCTACGTTGTTACTGACTGACTTTATTTGAACACATAGATATTGGTACAAGGGGGCACCAGATACATATGCGCCACTCAAATCTCATTTGATATGTGTGAGGGCTGTGATATTGCCTGGGTGCCCAAACCGAAGAAGGTGGTTTTCTTAGGAGGCCACACCCGGAGCCTTTGACCTAAAGGTCTGATCCACAAGGCAGTGGCGCTACGTAGGGAGATGCAGTCCCATGGTAGCAGGTGACCAACACTTGGTTCATACGCCATTTATTCCTTCAGGATACTGGAGCCCACGAGCACTATTGGTTTGAAATCAGGGTTTTCCAACTCCCCTAGGTGGACTCTCCGTGTCCACCAACCCGGTTAAAGCGCCGGACATTCGCTTTTCATCCCTCCGATTTCGTAAACAACACCCCCGCCACGAGAAGGCAGTGAGTAAGACTTACCTGGCAGTGGTTGCATGCACGTGGCCATGTGAGAGCATTTCGATGAAAGCGAACTCTCCCCACTCTCGGTCGTACCAGGGCATTTAGGGGTCTCGTTATTAAATAGTTTTATTTTTATTACTTTTTACAACGTTGGCATTTCGTTTCGTGTCATACATTTCTTGGTCCCCACTGAATCATCAAAAGTCCTCGATCATATTCAGGTTTATGAATGTAAAAGTGAAAATCTACGAAAAAGTTGATACAGGCAAGAAGTCTCAGGGTGGTCGGATAAAAAACACAATATGGTAGGAGGACTTTCGCATGGGTTTTAGAATCCCAGTATAAATTGTCCAAAGTCAGTGCTAGCAACTTTTAAGTAAAGACAGTGAGGAAAATTGTGAAAGGACCTATTTGAGTCTACTAGCTCTATACTTTTAAAACCCAATGGCCAGCACCAGGAATGCATTGGGATAGATATAACTAACTTTTAAGCCCAACCTATCCTAACTCCCCTTCCGTTATGAAAAGCCAGCAGTACTGGAGCTGTTGGATATCTGTAGAAAACACCTTGCTACCATCACACTACAGTATGGTAACCAACATGACTTCGCTCGAAAATATCAAGGAACGTATTCCAGTTAATATAGCTCGACTGAGTCGTCAAAATAAGCGAATTCGACCACCACTTAAAGGTAGTAGCTACGTTTGGTATAAATAACCAGTGTAAACCTTTTCAAGAAATTCGTCAATTCGCCCAAAAACTTATGACATTTGAATCTCATGGTGACTATCAAGTAAGGTGCTGCATAAATTACTTTGATGAGTTCTACTGTAGAAACAATTAATTCTTTGCCAAATCTGATGGCTTAAAATCCAATAATTATCGAACTTCAACTTTATCACTCAATATTCCACCTTGTATTTACTAACAATCATATGGAGCCAAAATTTTTCTTAGATAACAGTGCCACATATGCAACTCTTTAGTACTGGAGATAAGCTATGAATAGGAAACTACAGGCGTCCATTACATGAAGCCTTCAAATCTTAGAAATTGTGGGATAGTATACAAATGAAAACTTTTAATTACTAAAAACGACAACCACAAAATATATTTAAATAAGTGGTTTAATAGCAAATCTAAGCACTTTGGTTACAGCTAAACTTAACTTAAGAAAAAGGTACCAACCCTAACTTTTTGGCATAAATTTAAAACAATTAAAGGGTGGTCCAACATCGATCGACTAATGATCTTAATCAAAAGCCTAACAATCTCCACAATCCCATACTGATAATTAAAATAATGTTAGATTATTTTTTCAAGCCCTTTGTTTACAAAGCCAATAGTCTCATAAAATTCCACGTTCTTGTGTTTTGTGTAATTTGGCTATTTTGTGATAATAAGAATGGATACAAATATTTCAGTTTATACCACATGCTTTCAGACTTTATGAATCTCATACATATACACGAACGAACAAGTTAGAACAACTTATTAAAGACAACATTCTAATTAACACGACAGTGCTGGTAGAAAAATGGATGAGATCAAAATGGCATGATCATATATATGCACGTTAGGACAAGTTCTCATAAGAAACCCCTGACAATAAATTATAACTACAACAAAGAGAAGGTAAGCAAATTTTTAGGACGAAAACACAGAAAATTTTAGTATAAATAAAAACGTTAGTTTGGATACATCTTTTAAGCAGTTAATTATGTAAATACTTTTTAGTGTTTGTTCGAGATTGTGATACATGTTTCATCGAACACATGAGTCGCAGTTTGTGTGATCTTTAATAGTAGTAAGACGTTTACAGTCTTGAGAGTTGTGTGCGATACTTTACAAATAACAGATAATGAAGCTTTCGATATAAAGGCGGACAAAAGGCTTTATTATTTATAACTCTAGAATCTCGTGATCCTGAAAATGATAAAGAAAATCCTAATTTTGTCGTTTAGCTAACTTGAATTATCCAATATGAAGAGTCAGAGGGATTTATTCTTAGTATATTTAGTCTCCTTGTAACCTCGTAACATCGCTGGTATATGTTAAAGATTAAGTTCTCAAGCAAAACAGAAATTCCCTGACTTCATTTTTTTGACAGCCGCTTATACACTGTTGGATTAAGTGAAGTTGCACGGACTTGGAAGAATGGGATTAACCGTCATCACTGTTTTATGTTTTTTTGACGAGAAATCTTTAGACAGGTTCAATTAGGCTCAGGAAACTGTCCTTAGAAAGGACCAAAATTAGGCATAGAGACAAACCTTAACCTGAAGACAACTGACATCACAAACGTTTCTAGACAGACAAAATTACTATCAACTACCACTGAGGACATTGGATAGATTATTGCTCCTCCCGAATCATATCCTTGGAATTCGGACTTACTCCGGTACGAACAAGTGTCTATCAGAATCATACTTGACCAAAGAAAAAACGCAGTGAGACCACTTTGAGCCCATTTCGAAAAAATAAAACGCACGTATCTAATGTAGGACAAGCTAAGCATATAGCCTACAACCTAAAATGACCTGGAAATATTTTTAGACTGCTGTGAAAACATTAGTGACACTTGTTAACAACATGGACCAGAATATTAAGAAATCTCGAAAGCCCCCGTTAACTTAGCGGATTCTCGGAAACTATTCTCAGCATGTTCTGAACATGACGAGGAGCGAAGGACACTAGAACAGAGAATAACAAGACGTTAGCGCAATGATTGAGGAAAGAGGTGTGCAAAGAAAGCAAAGAACAATAAAAAAGTGGTCTTAATGGGTAGCACCAGGTAATTTTAAACTGATTACAAAGATGGATTAATAAGTTGGTTACTAGAGAAAATATTTCTGAAAAACATAGGACCCTAAAAACCAAACGCCGGTAACGCTGATCAGAAAATTTTGAGGAATACGTCAGGTGAACTCCAGCTACTTATCATTCACCAACAAACTGAACTAGAGGCTGATATAGGATCTCCAGAATTCAGTGAGGTCAAAAGGTCACAACTAACTTGAAGCAAATAAAAAAACGATCCTGATGGTTTTTTGCAGGTCCTTCATACCAGT